CCATCTTGAGCCGGCTACCAGGGATTGAACCCCAGGTCGTGAGCACAGTTTTAGTTGCAGTACAGCAGTTTAACCACTGCGCCACGAGGCTGCGGTAACAAGACAGGTTCTTATACTATTTTTTTTTTGCTCCAGAAAACACATTAGGGCTTATTTTCAGGGGATGTTTTATTTTTTTCATTTACAACAATCTACAGTTATTCAAATACAGTCGTGCCATCTTCTTCTGGTTGCTGCACAATGGTGGAGGGCGGGGTTTTACTTAACTGGGGCTTATTTTGGGCGGTAAGGCTTATATTACGAGCATCCTGAAAAATCAGACTAGTGCTTATTTTCAGGTTAGGTCTCATTTTCGGGAAAACAGGGTATTAGATGTTATATTTTTACATTTACAATATTTGAAAACTTGCTGTGGTCATGCTTTAAGGAGCCTATACATTTCGTGTTTTGTTCTCCCCCAACCCATTCTTCTACTAAAATAAAACAGACCTTTCATTGTATCTGGCTTTTTCTGTATCTTGGCTACCTCTCTCTTCTTCAGATGGAATGAATTCTGTATATAATTGTTCCCATCTATTTATGTATTTAATACATTATTTCAAATGTAATTCAGTTTTTACATGGAGAAAATAGTTCTATAGAATGCCTTGGCAAAATCTGAGCTATACATTCTGAGATTGCATATTCATTCCTTCCCACATATGGTATTCTTTTCTGTCCCCCACCCCCACCCCCCACTCTGGTTTAGGAATGGAATATAGACATTATTTCAGCTTCATCAGCATTTCTTTGAGATCCATATAAGAAAATGCAGGTTTACCCATCAGAAAATGGGGCATGTTGTTGATCCGTTTCAAAATTAGCCTAGAAATGGCTGCTTGGCTTGGGTGCTGTTAAGAGCCTATTGCATTGTTATCAGCTAGATTTGAGTAAGGGTGGTGTGGCTTTTGTTGTTGGACTGCAACTCTTCTGACCTCCACTGTATGCAGTGCTAATTATGGCAGATGACTGTGGCAGTCCAACAACATGGGTGGGGGGCAGATGTTCCCAGCTTCTGAGCTAGGCTTATATTTTGTGATGTTGCAGTCCTAGTAAATTGTGTGCTAGATTTCTTGTAGGGATATCCAATGTGGTGTAGTGGAAAGGGACAGAATTGGATTTAGGAGGCCTGGGTAACTCACTGGGGGTGTGGAATTGATAAAACCACTCCTTGAATATTTCCTTATTTTGAAAAACACCATTAGGGTCACTATAAGTTGGTTCTGACTTGATGGCACATAACAAGATTTCTTGTACTTCAGATATTTGTATTTAGTGCATCAGGCAAAACAAAAGAAAAATAAAAAAACAAAGAAGACAAAAATGTCGTGGCACCTTAAAGACTAACTGCTATATTTTAACGCAAGCTTTCATGGACAAGTCCACTCCTTCAATTTATTTAGTGAATAGTTTTAAGATGGACAGAGCGAGAGCTCAGAAAAAGATTGGACAAAGAGCGTGGATTGCACCCTGAACATGATTTTTTGAAATGTCATATATGTCTGATAGGTTACAAAGAGGCAAGAAACAACAGATAGAGAACGGCAGTGGAGCAGAGGACAATGGGGACAGCTCACACTGCAGTAACGCTTCAACTCACAGTAATCAGGAAGCCGGGCCAAGTAACAAACGGACCAAAACATCTGATGATTCTGGCCTAGAACTGGACAATAACAATACAACAGTTGCAATAGACCCAGTCTTGGATGGTGCAAGTGAAATAGAGCTAGTTTTCAGACCCCATCCTACGCTAATGGAGAACGATGACAGTGCACAGACAAGGTAAACAAAGGGTCTTGTCCTTGTTTTAGAAGCAACATTGTGCATGTTGGTGAGCTAGAATAAATACGGGAAAATGCTAGACTGCTGCCTTCACCTATGGCTTGGATTGTTTCATTGTGAGTTTTAAAACAATTTTATACCTGGTATAGGACAAGTAACTACATGGATTGTCTTTGCTCCTGATGCAGGTACATAAAGACTTCAGGCAATGCCACAGTTGATCACTTATCCAAGTACTTGGCTGTGAGACTGGCTTTGGAAGAACTCCGGAGCAAAGGAGAGTCAAATCAGATGAATCTTGAAACAGCCAGTGAAAAGCAGTACACAATTTATATTGCTACAGCAAATGGCCAGTTTACTGTGAGTAGTTAACTGGAGGAAAAATGGCTTTTAAGATATAGTTGAGTCGTATATATAAATTCTCCACCATGTGAATGGTTATACTTGTGGAAGGGGACTCAACCCTTCAGGTGACTTACACTGATCTCAACATGTTGATCATGGATGTTTTAAGAGGTCCTGGTTGGCATAGGTGTCACTTTGGCTGTATCTGTGCTCAGTCTGTAGGTGTGAAGGTAGAGCTGACGAAGGCAAGCCGAAGAAATGCTGTTCTTCCTCACATACACACTAAGCTCTATGTGTACAAAATGTTTTAAATAAGGTTGTGATGTGCTTTTGTGCCTGCTGTGGATAATGCAGCAGAGTTTTATGCACTACATAAAGAAATACAACATTATGCCAAATGTGGACACACATGTATGTGGTCAGCTTGCTAAAAGAGGAAATGATGTAACAGACTCCGAGGTGAGGAAGCTCTCGCTTTAAATCTTTGTGTTTGGGCATTGGCAAGTCTTTGTTACAGAGCCTGTCATATCCACAGTGTCATTTCATATATCACAATAGAGCCTGATACGTCAGCCCCCTGTACTGTTGACATTTTTAAAATCAAACAGACCTGTGTTAGAGAGCCAAATATTCTAGAATCTACATCTGGGACAGAAATTAAATACCAAGAATATTTTCCCTAAAGTCTAAGATACCAGGAGATACAATTGTTACTTTCAGGATAGATGGAAATAATATTGTATTTTCCCTACAATATTAGGGATATTTTGCAGCTGAACAGAATTTAGCTAGTTCAGGGGCTTTGTGCCATTGCTGTTGTTGGAAGAAAGGCATTCAATAAATTAAGTTCACCACCACCACAAAGGTTCCACAGCCCTTCATATTCCGCTTGAGCTGACCATCTTTTTTGCCAGTGTGGCAAAAAAGTGAACAAGCGGGAGAAATGGTTAGTTCAGAATTAGTAATTTTCTCTCTCCGAAGTTACAGCTCTCTCAGAGGATGCCTTATAAGCTCACTGGAGCAACAACTCAAAAGGCTGGAATGTGTTGGTAAAGAATAGTTAACATCTCATGGTGCCAGTGCCTCTGATTTAAGTGCTGTTACCCTGTTCCACTCCTCTTTTCAGTACCAAACGCCTGAATAAACCTATGTCACCCAGTGTTATGACCTCACTCAGTATCTTTAAAAAGTATCCATGGAAAGAATTTGGAATACATGTGAGATATTTTGTACTGTCGCATGCAGGTCAAGTAAGATAGGTAGATTTATTTACTTCACAACAACAGTGTTGGATTGGGTGAAGAAATTGCCCTAATTAGTATGGCATCCTAGAAGGGACATGCCTATATGAAAAATGCTAGGCAGAAGAGTAGTTACAGTTCGAAAGCTTTAAGATCAGATAATAAAAGAACCTGGATGTTTATTGGTATATATGATTTTTTGGCTTTGCATCCTATTCCATTCTCACACTTCAAGATATCTTACCATCCTCATTACCTGAAGAGCGGAAGTGATGCAGTGTGTATCTTTATTTGGGTTGATACTGAGGCAGAAGTTTGCCTTCTCTTAAATCTGTGTATAATGGAATGGGCTTAATTTTATTCATCTGGAGTGTTGAACTGCACTTAACAACTTTCCACAAGTGAATGACTACCTCACTACTCTGTGCTCTAATAGCAAGAACTTTACAAGAAGAACTGTAGACTTTTTGTGTAAAAACAGTCATGCAACCGCAATCTGAGTGCAGCTGCTTTTTCCCTTGGAGTGCAGTTCACATCTGCTTTGTATTAGACTATTTATAGAATGCTCGCCTAACCACTCTTCCCCTTAATGCTGTATTCAGTGTTTGATCATTTCTGTAGTTATATATTTCTGTTCATTTTCAAGTGACAATAACATTAGCTTTATTTTTGGCTTTAGCACTGATTTAATCTTTGTCTTTAGGTGCTGAATGGGTCATTTTCCTTGGAGCTGGTCAGTGAAAAGTATTGGAAAGTGAATAAACCCATGGAACTTTACTATGCACCAACAAAGGAACACAAATAAGCCTGACAACAGTTTTGAGGTGGAACTCTAATTTCTTTTTTATAACTTTGGTTTACTTTAAATAAGTGAAGCACCATCCTCTGCATCACGGACATCTACTGAGGGACTGGATTCCTTGATTAATATCCATATTGATCATTAGGCAGTATTTTGTGTGATATTTTAACTTGCATTTTTCTCTCTGGAGGACTGGTCTGTACATTCCATTGTTGCTGTTGGTGTCCTTTTTTATTTGGTGGCTCTTGTTCCCCGTGCATGATAATAGAAGCAGCAATGGTTTTTGGGGTGATGTGTCTTCAATCTGGCATACATGCTAGCACCAAATTCTGACAAGGGCTAAGCAAAAATAATTAGAGCATAAAGAACTCTCGCTGACATCAGCAGTGTTAGAATCCATATGATTAGAGTAGATTTCTTAAGTCACTGACTACTTGTGATGCAAAAGAAAGTGGTGGTAGCAGGAACCAAAGGGGTTGTTCACAGCAGTAACTGAGCTTCTGGACATTGCCTGGGCAATAAGTCTTACGGCCCTGTAAGTCAAAAAGGTTGGTTCATATGTAACTATGTCTCTGGTATCAAACAGGTGACAGCCTTGGGAATGTGTGCAATTCCTTCTCTCATTACGTTTTAGCATAATTTGGCTTCCCTTGGTTTAGATGCTAAAACCACAAAATCATGATTGAGATAATCCTAGGTAATGGTTGACTGTATATGACAGTAGTATCTTCTGTATTGCTTAACAGCAATTAAAGAATGAGAGGGAATTAAATTTGGCAAAGTACTGCATATATATCTTTAGTACTGATAATTTGTTAGCCATGGTTTATGAAGAGCCAGTGTTACTACTGCTTTGGCCCATTCATAGGGAAAACATTAGCACTGATACACCTTGAAAATAATTATTTCTGCTGAAGCCTTAGGCAGCTTCAGTATCAAGTGACTAATTTAAATGAATTCTGAGCATAGTGTCCCTACCTACTTGCATACTTTGAAGTCATTAATTCAGAGGTGGAGCCTAATCTATGCTAGAAGCCCCCAATACCCTGATCCAAATCCCCTTCACTATAATCTTCCCTTACCTAGTGGAAAATGAATTTTAAAAAAATCTGATAGAAGTAAAAGGCACAAAATAAAGTGCTCCTACCAAACTTTTGTACAGAAAATACTGACAGATTTTTTCCTCAAATACTTTCCTAATATTTTTAGCCATATTAACAATACTTGGCACTTATGATTATAATAAATAAAACACAGGTGATTTTTGGTTTTGCCTGGATCAGAAGTCTGGTTATATGCTCAGTTACAACTGATTGGGTAGGGTAAACCGATTATCTGAACCATATTTGTTCTCCTAATGAGACTGACACAAGGCTGTAAGGCTGAAGAGACAGTTAAGTATTTTTTTTCACCATCCCCCCAAAACTGCAGTATATTGGCTGCTGTCATGTTGTACTGGGAAGGGGAGCAGTAGAAAAGTTGGAGGGGTGTGGGTGAGCATGTTCTTCAGTGATTCTCACTTAAGACCTGAAAAAATATGCAGTCAGCTGTTGGTACACTTTTAAACATTTGGATATTCATTTAAAAATCTGGCCATTAACCTGAGTTTAGGATGAAGCCCATAGTTTCCCACTCTGGTAATGTTGTACTCCTGTAAGAAAAAGAAATTACAGTATAGCCTTTTTGACCTCTCTAATACCAATCATTCTAAAGGTCTGATAGCAGTTTGTGCTATGGAATTCCTTAATAACCAGAAATCTAGGGGTGGGAAAGGAAGCTATACCTTGCCAATTTAGTTTTACTTAGTAGTTTTGATGTAATGTACAATTTATATAGCTTACTAGTGCATGTCCACAAAATATAATCAGGTTTCTTTTCATGTGAAAAATGCTTTTGTATGGGCAGATACCAATTGCAGTAGGAAAAAACCCTGCATTGTGATTTACCCAAGATAGTGTTTAACCCTGTAATCAGATAAAATGTTTGTAAAATTCTGAAAGTTTATCTACTTAGAGTGTGTGTTATTCCCAACTTATGTGTGGGAGAATGTGAATTTTTACTTTTGTGTTGCCATGAATTCATCAAGTATTTATATTACTTAAATACATAAAGTAGCTGTTTTACTCAATTGCACTGTGACTTTAATGTTGTGGCTAATTTGCATGTACTTCGTTGCAACCATACCTTTTCAAACAGGACATTTTGTAACAGCAGTGATACTTCAAATGGAAGGCTCCCCCTCCCCACCCTTTGGGGCACCTTAAGGGGTATGAAAAAAATAGAAAGGAGTAAGATCCTGTAAGCAGATGGTACTTCCTACCTGGTCAGCTAAGTTTTGATTAGATCAGTATCCTTTTGCACTGGACTCTTGCTAATCCCAACTGGATTTGTTGGGATACTCTACCCTTTACCCCATCATTTTAAAGGGAATATAATTTTGGAAGAGAACTTTGAAAAGTTTAGAAGGGCTGGGCCCTAGATTTAAAGTCCTTGACAAACACTTACATGAAATTAGTTCTGTTACACCTTTTTGAAATAAACTCAGCTCATGCACACTAACATAGGCACTGCATGTTCCTACCTTACACAAAAGCTCTGGACAGTTAAAGATGAATGTGTCTTTAATATCAAGTGTATTTGCAAAAGCGGTCTGTCCTCAGATGCTATATGGCTGGTATCTTCACCTAGACACTTGACTGTTGTTCTTAGGCCTTATGTTTACCAAAAGTAGCTAACCACTGTTCTTGCACTTTCTGGAATTACAGTAAAGTGCTGCTCCCACTGAAAACAGGTGATGTTGATACCTATGGCCTCCACCCATATCAGTTAGAAACAGCAACCTCATTTAATAATAATCACCATCAGCAGCACCTTTGAACTACAGAGCTGAAAGGGACCTATGGATCATTGAGTTTACCCCCGCTCAAGGAGGCACAGCGGGGAATTGAACTCCCAACCTTTAGCTTTGTAGCCAGAGACCTAAGCCTTATGCCAGTGCTAATCCCGTTATATGGCAGAGTAAGCAACGCAATATGAAGAGGTCCAGCTGAATGTTTGGATGCTTTCAATAACTATCTGTCAATCTCTATATGCCATATTAAGAATATAGTATCAACTTCATGAAAATGCAACTAGAACCAGCTTATTGTATCATGTATATTTCAAAGGCTCGGGCATTAACTTGTAAATCAGATATTGACAAAAGGGAACACTTTATTGGTTGACCCAGTGCTTCATATATATATGAATGAATTGTGATGCTAATTGAAACATGTGACTATTCAGAGGTTTTTCCAAAAATATCCTTAAGCAGTTACAATAGTTGAGCAATCACAACAAGAATTCTGCAGCTAGAGAGACTAGGTTCAGTTAAACTCTCAACACAAATATTCAATAAAGAAATTTTTGCAAGAAGTATCATTTTAAATGCTTTCTTCTGCAAAATCACCTTCTGCCCCTATCTGGGAATCCTCAGAAGTCTGCAGAGAGCTTTCACTTTGTCCTCCTGTATATGTAGGCGCGCTGTACTTCACAAGGATAGATTTAAACTGTGCCAGAGGGGCATTCGTGCGAACACCCATTGGATCAAAATGGGTTCGGCTTACTCGGTAGCCAGCTTGAGAGAGGTAATGCAAGAACTTATTTAACCTGAGAAGAAAATTATAAAGCATGAAATAAGTATTGCTTCCATCAGTTGATCACAGTGGTATTCTAAAAATAAAGATATTTACTTACTTTGGCATATTCATCCCTTTAATGCTGTGTCTGTGAATATTATAATAAAAGGCAGGATGCTCGGCATTATTCTCTAGCTTCTGCCGCTTTGCTCCATTTTGGCTAATTTCATTACCTTTTCTTTTTCCTGAAACATAAGAAATGGTTACAATTTGGATATGTTACATTTTTATCTACACAACATACCATCATAAAGCAGAATCACCTCATATCTATATAAAAGGAAGTAAAATGTGATATTTCAACAACTTTATATTATACGGATATTGGGTTTTTTTTAAAACTGTGTGACCCTGTTTTATCATAAACTGAAATATTATTCCATATGCTGCTTTATTTTCTAGAATTTACTTATATAATCTAAACTAACATCTCCTGAGCAACTCTTGTTTGGTTCCAGGTGCTCTGCTAGATCGACAAGCTACCGTATTTTTCTGTATATAAAAGGACACTTTTCTCTAAAATATTTAGATCAAAAATTTAGGGTTGTCTTATATACAGAAGTAAAGAAGGGGGAGGGATCAAAGTGCTTTGATCCCAGCTTTCCCCCTCCACTTTCTTCGCTAGAAAGTGCTTTCCCCTGCGCTTTCCTTGCAAGACAGCACTTTCTTGCAAGGAATGTGCTTTCCTCCTCCAGTTTCTTCTGAGGAAAGTAGGGGGAAAGCACTTTCTTTGCAAAGAAAGAAATTCTGGGTTAGAAAAGTGTGTGTGGGGGGTGTATCTTATTCATGGGGCGTATTATACATGGAAAAATACAGTACCTACCATGTACAATGAAGTAGTCAGCTGCAGCATCTGGTGTCCTAATAATCACACCACACTCTTCTAAAACACAAGGAAATGAGTATATTTAGGAAACCGTGATGATTTTTGAAATAAAGGTTATGTTAGAAAATACAACTAAATGGAATGATATTTGTATAGCAAGACATTTCAGGATACTGTCACATCAATACTTTAGGGCTGGTTGATGTGGCTAGCGTTTAAATAATGTGGTATAACAGCAAGATATATGCTGAAATCTTCAATTTTGGCAGATACATTTTTAAATGGCCTTCACACACTTTGCTGAAACTGATATATCGGGTTATATACCGTTATACAGTACTTTGATGCAGTGGTCCCCAACTTTGGGCCTCCTGATGTTCTTGGACCACAACTCCCAGAAGCCTTCACCACCACCTCTGCTGGCCAGGATTTCTGGGAGTTGAAGTCCAAGAACATCTGGAGCCCAAGGTTGAAGACCACTACTTTAATGTACTGGATGTCACCACCACCCACCTAAATCCTATTTCTTGGAATGCATGTTGTGGTCAATATACTATTGCTTACCTATAGTCTACCTGAAATCCAACTTTGTTGGCAATGCTATGACTCTGCTAATCTGAACAACATAAAATGTGTGAAGAACAATTTCAATATTTTAAGATCATGGGAGTCCCAAAATTAGCAAACAGATTCTTTAATACGATATGCAGATTAGTACATTTAACAGTAACCCTCTTTTCTGTGGACAGCTTTGATAATTCTAAGACCAAATTTTCCCATCCTGAAACCTACTGAGGGTGACTCCCCTGTTAAAATTAGGGAGAAATCTGTTTTTCTTGCTTTTTTAGTTTAGACACATGCTGCTCACTTTCATAGCTTACAGCACTCCTAGATGTCTCTCAGAAGCAAAGAATGCATGATGTGTGTGCTTTATTTGCAGTCCTAAGTGTTTCAGGAAGCTTCTGGGAGCACTATTAAGTCTCAGAAATCAAGAGCTGTTTTAAAGTAAGAAGGCAAGGAAAAAAGGCTAGTTTTAAACACCAGCTATTTCAACAGGTGGAAGGCTGGCAACCACAACAATAAGAAGAGAGAACCTTCTATAAGCCACATGTTGCTTACCCCCAATTTACTGCCACTACATCGTGGGATTCTGTGACTATTTTCTTTTAATTAACAGGGCCTTTTAAAAAAATGGTGTCCTCTCACCTTGTTTGTTCTGGCTACTAGGTCCATGGATGGAAAACTGCTTGAAAATTGTGCATTCTGCTTCACAGATTAGAGTTTTTAGAAGTGTCTGGATGTCTTCTAAACCATATTGAACAGCTTCAAACAACATTCTTCTGAGAAATCCAGTGTTGAAGAGGGATCCTGACCTGGAAGATAACAGAACTGCACCATCTGTTTAAAGAATTTACTTTAAAACTAGATTTTTATAATAGAATCACAGAAATTGTCTGGGGTGGGTAGGGGGCACCGCTGCCAAACACTGTGTGTTTTGAGATTTTAAAGAGTTTGATATTTTTCAGCACTTCATTGTTTGTAAAGGATAGCTTTTTAGGAAATGAATTAAATGCATATTTTTTAGAAAAGCACAATGGAGATTTTGACCATGGTGATTTGTGATGGTTTGACAGACACTAGCCCTCATCCTGTTGTTACACTTGTAAGAACCATGAACTAAACTTGCATAGCTGGTGTGGATATGCTGCTGGTTTGCAAATCGGAAGCTTGCCCTAGGGCACACGTTTCTCCTTTGGATGAATTTTACTTTTAGTTTCCTTACTTACTAGACTTACCAGAAGTAAGGGTTATGGTATTTGTGAATATGAATTGCCCCTCACAGCTGGACTTAATGAGGGTCCAACCCATGGTGCTGGATCGTCCACTCATGCATCCAATGGCGGCGGGCTTGCTCATCCTTCTCCTAGAGTGCCACTCTCTTCCCACTCAGTTGGCCACTCAGCAGCCGTGCAGGGAGACTCATCCTCCCTCCCCCTGCCTGGAGTGGCTAGCTGAGTGGGAAGAGCCGTGCTGTGGGTGTGACTTGAAAGATGAGTGAGACTGCCACCGCCAGCGGATGTGTGAGTGGACAGTCTGGCCCAAGGGGCCAGACCCCCAGGAAGTCTCGCTGGGTGGGGATATTCGTATCTGAATACAAATACCCCCCATCTCTAATTACTACTGCTGTTTTTGCATTACAGGAGTCCTGTTGCATATACACCAGGACCCCTATGGCTATGGTTTTAGTCTCTGTTTTACTGGAGCCACTGAACTGTTAAGGGAAATCCCTCTGGTGTACAACAGCCTCCAATTTTGTGCTCCTTACAGAAGTGGGGCCTGATACTGAGGAAGGCTGTATTAGTCAACTGTTACATTTTGTATTGTATATGGTCTGTTTTAAAATCCAAATTTTATAACCAGAAAAGCTGACATCTTTAATTTGCATGACTTTGCACGTCTACATTTTTTTCTAATCCTTTCACATTTTTAAGGAGTAGCCATATGCTTATTGATGTTCAGGGCACATCTTTTAATACTGTATCTAGTAACAAAGCTAATGTTTTCAAAATTATTCCAGCATTGAAACAGATTTTGTTGGTGCCACATTCCCTAAACATAGTGAGCTAAATATCAGTTCTCTGTGCTATCAGGAAGCACTGGAGAAGAAAGCAGAAGAGATACATAAGTAAAATATTGGGATCCTACCGAGATATGGTTTGTTTATTGGCCAAACAACTGTTCGGTGCTTCAAAGCCTGCCTCCTCCAGCAGGTGCCATTTGGAGGCAGTGGCCTGGCTTCCCTGCTCAACCTCCTAGCACTGCCTCTGAGTGGGTGCCTGCCAGAGGAGGCGGGGCTTTGAAGCACCAAACACCAGTTTGGTCACTAAACAAACTGGCAGTTCATGCCCATCTCTGTTCCTAACAGAAAGCCAAAGAACACCTGCACTGTTTTGTAATGGATTGTAGGGTTGTTGTTTTGTACATGCAAGAATATAATGCCCCTCCTGCAATAAAATGAATTAGTGCTTTTGAAGGGGCACAAAAAGAACAAGAATTAATGTAGACATAGTGATAAATTATTTGCCACACCATAATTTGAAGAGTTTCTGAGAATAGTGTGAATCCAATTTAGCTTAGCAATTCATTAGTTTCAGTTTCCCATTTGCTTTAGTATGGGTAAATGTCTTGCAAGTTACATATCAATTTTTTCCAAGTTGAAAACTGAGGGAGAGGATGAAACAAGGGAAAACAACTAACTTCTTAATTAGAAAAGAACAGGTGGAGTAATGAAATAAATGGCTGAGGTTGCTAGAAAGGTTTTACAAATATTTCCAAAAGCTGATACAATTTAACTTGGGGAAATTGCTAATTCAAAAAGAATTGTACTGAGCAGAGAATTGCTTTCCAGTGATTACAGAAATCTTGCTTAATGCCTTCTGAAATTAAAGCCAGCAAAGCACACAATTTTTCAAAAATACCTCTTTCTATCATCATCATGGCTTACACAAATAATTAACATCAAAGCACAGATGAAAATCTATAAGCGGTATATTTAAGTATACCACACCAGCAATTAATAATAATAACAGAACTGCAGAGCTTCAAGGAACCCTGTGGATTCTAGTGTCCACCTCTATCAGGGAGGCTCAGGTGGGATTCCAGCTCCTAACCTCTAGCGCTGCTGCCAGAGACCTAAACCACTGAGCTCTCCAGCAGTGGCCAAACAGACAAATATTCTGAGTTTCAGCTCTCCGAATAAACTGCCTAATAAGTAGCTTGTGGGGTCTTTTTTATGGAAGGAAAAAGCCAAGCCATATATATTAAAATCCAATCATTGAGATTGCAGAATGGACATACAGTCTGAAGTTCAACAGAGGGAACTGGAAGCGGAGAGAAATAAAAAATATCATATGATTGAGTTGTGTATCTTTAGGCTTGCTTGCAGACATCTTGGTTGTATGTATCTTTTGAGACCTGTTAAGATTAGTGAGCCTCACTCTCAGGTAAACAGTCGTAGGACTGTAGCCCTAGCTGGAATAGGGCACACAACTAATCTTTTGTTTTCTAGTTCTGCTTTCCAGTGTTTTTCAGACTGAATGCCCCTAAAGTGAAAACAAAACGATGTCCTTTTCCAAAATGCAATGTTCTTTCATTGTCACCTGTATTTTACTGATACAACTTTACTCTTGACACATTCAGAACATTGGCTCTTAGGAAGCAACTGATTCACAACTGGCAGACTCCAGGCCTATTTGAGAATCAAGAAAATGGCATACCACAAAGGACCAAGTTCAACGGCAGTCTTGCCTGTCATACGGCTGTAGCAGTCGCATGGGAGCAGTCGGTATGGGTTTTCTGTTGAAAAAAATGATACAAACATTCATTTTCTAAACAGACACCTGAGGTATGGATATAAGTAATGAACATAAATTTGAATTTAACAAGGTACCCTAATTGAGAAATAAATGAATAAAAGGAATTGCTATTTGCAATTGTAAGTAATTTGCTTCCTAAAATTGCTTAAATCTAAGTAATTTATCAGAGCAGCTAATATTTAGGTACAGAATGAGTCATAACACTATTCTATGAAGGTGTCATTTCAGAAAAGGGGAAGGGGGGCTTTAACTGCAAACCAGAATGCTATTCTTTTAAAAAGTCTACGGCACAGAGATTAAGTGGGGAAAAGATTATCTTTTTGAAGAGAAATAGGAAAGAAAACTCAGGGATTGTGATGGTTTTGTTTTCATTACCTGAGCCTTGCTGATAACTAGACAGTTACAGTGAACAATTACCTTCTACCATGTTTCCCTCTTTCTTGAATACTCTCTCTTCGCACCACTGACAGTGGATTAAGTACCGAATTTTCTTGACAGTGTCATCTGCAGGAGAAGGTCCTCTCAATACTCTCACCTCCACTAGAACAAAATGTTCAAGAGCCACCGCAAACAAAACGTCAATGCCTTTGTTACATCGAGCAGCAGCTCTGGGAAAAGAGATACTGTTACTCAGCGTATTCAGCAAAAGTGAACTCTCCCAATTTGATACACAGTTTTGATTTCAGTTGGAAGTGCCTCTACTTTCTGAATGGCTCTTACGGATTGTGAAAATTTACAATCCCAGTATGCTGGCATGGCTTTCTATTTTTTGGACTGTTTCAAATCTAACAAACTTTGTTATTAGTATGCCATTGAAATAATGTGGCTGAATACATCTGAAACCATCTTACAACATAGTGTGCAAGTTCGATTTTTGTACCATCCGATGGCACTTCCTCTACTCCCCTTCATAGTCTCACGTCTCCCAGTCTGCTCTGATGGGTCACCCAACCCACCATGCTAGCTTTGGGAGTTGCTCAAGGGGCTGAAGATTGGGGCCCAAATTAGCTTCTTCCTGTTCCACTGGCATATGCTTTCTATTACTGAAGCCACATCATTTGAATTTCACTAATGAATACCTTGTTGAAACTAGAAAATTTAAAAATGTGCAATAATTGTGCCTGGTTCTGAGAACCACAGATCTCCAATCTTGTTCCAGTGGGAAGTCACTTCCATAACTTGTTGCATTCCTAAGTAATGATGGAAACTCCTAGCAGAGCATCTTTACATAATACTACATAGTATACTACATAGTAGTTCTGCTATTCTTTCACCAACATCTTTGCTACCAACCAAAAGCCATCTGTTTTCTTCAAAGAGCTCCACATTTATTAAATTAAGTTCAAAAGCAGAAATCCCCCCAAACCTTGCACTATTGAATTCTAGCCCTGAACAATTAGTTTTACCCAATAGATTATGGGAACTTTAGTGGTCTTCCTGATTTTCTTGCTTGCAAAATAAGGGAAACTGCTGAGGATCCAACAGGCCATGATACAAGACTAGTGATCTGCATTCAGCTTGGGGGGGGGGGGTACAGAGGTTTTGCAGGTCTGTTTTGAGCTGTTCACATTCTCAATCTAACTTCAAAAACTATTGGGAAACAAGATGCAGAGGACTAACTTCTCACAACTCCTACCAGGAGTTTTACTTAGCAGCAAAGGGGAAACATTGCTACTTTTCCATTCTGAAATTTGGGAGTGCCACCCATCAGAAACTGCACATGTACCTTGCTATAGCAGCAACTACCATCCTAGCAGCCAGTTCCCTGTAGTACTCAGTGCGGACAATGTTGCAGCCGTAGTGCCGTTGTGCCACATGCTGGGCCTTTGAATAGAGGGAACTGGTGTCTGTTGACGTCACTGACACAATTCCAAGATTTCTTACATTTCTAAAAGCTGCATCTAGATAGTTCACAGAGGATCCAAATGGGTCAAGATGGCTGTAGGTGCGGCAGGGGATAGAAAACAGGTACAGTAAATAATATAAACATGGTGACAGAGAGATCTATGGCACAGTCATAACCTTTTTATTATTCAAAATTCATCTCACTAAGTTCAGCAATAATAACATCCAAATATGTATGCTTAAGATGCAACGTTGGCTGCAGTATTTCCAATACAGAATTTTCCAATAATAGAATATAGTTCTATTCACTTTAGAAAAAAAAAGTTTCATTCCTGAACTGGGAATTTATTCAAGGGTGGAAACCATTCTGTAAAACTTAAGAGCTGGCCAGACAGTTTGTGGTGGGAAGATCCTGGCAAAAGGAGACATCTTGCTTTCCTTGTTTGCCTGTCTCTTTCTCTCATCCTCCCCCCAGTAGTGTTTCACTGAATGTTTGTAGTATTTGAGTTTCCAGCACATCAGCACTGCAGTTTTGGAGTATTTCCTCCACTGATTTCCATGCAGTAGCTGTATTCATCTGTTGGAACAAAACCAACCTGGAGTTTGGTGATACCTTACAGACAAAGTAGTTTTCTTTGCCCTAACCTTTTTGTGGACAATAGCCCACTTAATGCATCTAATAAAGCAAGACTCACAAAAAGGCATTCATCTACAAAAGGCAAGTATCTAACAAACAGAAAATAGAAGTTTGTGCCTGGTTTTTCAAACTGCCTATCCAACCCTAAAATTGAAAGTATATGCCTACCCTTAAGCAAAGTAACCACTCTCTTGTCTATATGAAAATGAGGGTTGCTCAGTAAACTAACACCCGTCCAGCCAACTGCTTTTTAAGAGCCCCAGTTTCTTTTGACAACACACAGGGAAACAAAAGAAAACAATTGTGTAAATTAAGCAATAAATTACACATAATTTCTCTAAGAATGTTTAGACAAAATGTGCTGGATTTCCAAGAGGAATTAGCCCCAGATTAAAATTTTAGCCAAAAAAGTAATGAATCAATATTAATAATGCTTGAAATCTCATTAATCCCCTTTTCATATATTAATAAAGGGATACTGATGGATAATGTTTGTTACTGCTTGATTGTTACTCTTCTTTAGTTTCTCATCCATGTTGTCTTAAATCATTATTTAATAGAAGAGTTATGATTATTGTACTGTAACTATTATAAGAAGAGGAAAATAATAAACATTTCTGATTATTTTTAAAAATGCATTTCAAAGTCCTGTAAAGGTATAGTAATTTGCCACTAAAACATTAACAGTGGGAATTAGTTCATTACTCATATACAAAGTTGCACCAGTGTTGGATGTCAAATGGGATATTCTCTGAAACCCAGTTTTGCTTGATAAATATGATTAAATCTACTTTGCAGTGTTACCATTCTAGATGTTCCACAGCTGAACTATTTTCCTCTTAGGGACTGGTGAGTGTTGGAGGGGGAAGGGCTGATCTAAGAGACAAGATGTCACTTACATAAAATCAAATGCTCTCAAGTGCATGATGACATTAGCATCCATATTTGTCACCTCAATGGTAGGCAAGTTTTCTTCTCCTTCTTCCACTGCTTCATCACAGTCATCCTCCTCCTTGAAGTTCACTACTGCTTTCATCTTATTTAATTGACAGTTCTCCCTTATCATTGTCACAGAATTTTCACTGTAGTCATTAATTGTGACCTTCACAGAATTTCCAAGATGCTTTGCCCATTGTAACCCCATTATGCCTAAAGGGCAAGAAGTGTATAGAGTCAGGACAGTGGTGCTTGTTCCAAAAAGTCAGGATCAAAGAAGTGTATAGAGTCAGGACAGTGGCAGCTTCCTTCAGTGGTGCTTGTTCCAAAAAGTCAGGATCATGTTCTCAATATGTGTGATCCACAACTACAACAGCTCAGCTTTTGGCTCTCCAGCTGTTTTGAACTTCAGCTTAGCCAATGGTCAAGGAGCAGAACACAAAAACATCTCGACAGCCAAAAGCTTTAACTTCGGAATTTCTGAACTAAAAGACTCAAATTCTCTGTAAAAGATACAGATTCATGGAAAAGACAGATTCCAGGTATGTGTATATATCAGTCCAAGATTAACATTCTCTTCTTCTGTCCTGGAATGCTGCAGCAGCTTAATAATATAGGCATGTTTACTAATAAATAAATCCTACTGACATCAGTGGGATTTACTCCCTAATAGATATAATAGTGACCAAAATCCAACTGCAAACTGAATATACAAGGGAAACCATGCAGAAGTTTCTCCCTTCTGCTAGCTTCCCTTTAGGTTCTTGGTCATGCAATCTGCCACATTCCTGAATTTGCAGACGGTGCAAGATCAGGCTTGCAAAGAAGAGCCTTCCAGGTAGGAGGGAAATGCTTATGTAATCCTCACTACTACACAACTAGATAAGCAAACAGGATTCTGGCCAGTATAATATAAACTACTACTAACTTTTTACCATGTTACAAAATATCTTAATAAATTATGTACTTCAGCTTCAGTACATAATTTAGTTTTACAAATTAGATATAGTTAATAAAAGCACAGAACAGAAGACTACCTGTGGCTCCAAATGCATCCAGACATTCCAAAGGTTTCCGTTCCTCAACTAAAACGGCTAAGGCACAGACTATGAGCTGCCTAAAAGAAGAAAAGGGTGTTTTATTGAAATATACACCACATATTCACCATTTATTCTTTTTCTACCCAGTTTAAGTAAAAAATAAATCACTGGACAATAAGACTTAACATAAAACAACATACTCTTCTGTAATAATAATTCTATTTTAAAAATCAAATTAGATGTTTCAGAGAGGTACTGTGGTGTGGTGGATAAAATGTTGAAGACTTAAGAGTTGCCATCCCCAGTTGGCCATGGAAATTTGGTGGGAGGGCTGCAATGGTAAACCACTCCTTGAACATCTGATATACCTCTAAAACCTTATTAGGGTTGCCCTAAGCTGGAGCAACTTGATGTCATCATCATCACTGTTGTTGTAATCTTAATCATAAATGTTGCAGAGTGCTAAGGTTTTTGGTAGAACCTTCATCTCCCAGTATTATAATGATAAAATTTTATATCCTTCCATCTTCTACCTGCTGAACAGAAATATCTGCCACATACTGGCTCCTGTTAATCTGAAAAATATTTAAACTCCTCCCACTCTCTGTTCTTACCTGTTTAGTTTCATTTTGGGATTAAAATAGGAGTCTGTTTTCTGTGGTGTAGAGTAGTTAGGAAGGACTTGCACACCTGTGTCTGCTTCTTTCAAGACTTCACAGGTAGATTTTGGAGCAGGGGCTAAGAATGTTTTGCACAAGAAAGAAGCATGAGAGAAATTTCAGCCCAATTCAGACATTCATTAAAGGCTTCATAAACCAAGGATGAGATTCTTGACGAGATCCTTGGCTTGTTCAATACCATTACGCTACAATCCACCAGTTTGAGCGTAGACAGGTACAATGGATGAACATAACCCAGAAACTAAGGTAGGCACTAGCAAATGACAGTAAAGGCGAGGGAGAACCATTAGGCCCCAATGCCTGTTCTTGGCTTCTTAAGCTTTGGTTTGTGATACATAAACAATTATCTGAACCAGGCCTATAGTGTCCTTTCATGTTCAACCACTAACACATTTACATTCACAATAAATGGGGAATAAAGTGATAATCAAACAACATACTTCTAAGGAAGCAAGCATACATTTTCATAATACTTGCAGACCACTTCCTATGTGAGAAATTGCCACAGTGCCACCATATCACATTTGGATTCATTTACATTCCTGGAAGCAACTCTTTCTTGATCAGAAAAAAATCTAACCACAGGACAAAAGGTGTGAAAGTGCTCATGAAAATATCTGAGCTATCATCTGATCGTTAAATTTCTCAGTTGTAAAAGAAAACAAAATTGAATGATGACCCAGGAACATATGCATCGTTTGCAGACAGGAAATTGACTATGAACTGTGATCCTTTTATGATATACAGTCGTGCCCTGCTCTACAATGAATCCGCTTTACGTTGATAGCGATCGCAAAACGATGTTTTAAATGGGGTTTTTCCACTGTGCGATGATCGGTTCCCTGCTTCAGGAACCAATTTTCGCTTTACAACAATCAGCAAACAGCTGACTGTCGGGTTTCAAAATGCCCACCGGCTGAAGAAAATGCCCCCCCCCGCTGTTTTCTAGGACGGATTCCTCGCTTTATAGGCACTGAAAATGGCCACCGCAAGGAGGATCTTCGCTGGACGAGCAGGTATTCAGCCCACTGGAACGCACTGAATGGTTTTCAATGCGTTTCAATGGGTTTTTTATTTCGTTTGACGTTTTCACTCTACAGCGATTTCGCTGGAATGAATTAACATCGTCAAGCGAGGCACCACTGTATATTTTCACATGAAAATGAAAGACAAGGCAATTTATCTATTTTATATGCAGGTTTTTAAAAACGAACACGAACACAACAGTTTCAAGAGCTTCAATTCTCAACAATCCAATGCGACCCATTTAGACAAATAAGGTGATAAAGACTGCTTTAAAAAACACTGAGATTATGCAAACTTGATGTTCTTGTGCAAAGGAATTCTTTAAGTGCTTGTGGGTTAGACAGAAATGGACATGGACACAAAATTAAACCTATCCTCATGTTATCACACATTCCATCTGTAACATCCTATGATCAAAATATGGTACCTTCATTGAAGGTGAAAGAGATATTGACATATTCACCTGGAACAAATCTGGATTTGGTTTCTCCTTTATTCACATGGCGTTTAATATGCCCTATCATATCAGTCCTTCGAGTAATCATTGCTGAACAGATAATACAGTGATAATGAGCTCCCATCTTTGTAGATACCTACAACACATATTGCAAGCACATTTAAAGATTTTCAGATAAGCCTTTTAATATTAATATGATACTAAGGTGGCTGGATAGATCAGTGGTTTAAGTATCTGTCTGTGGAGAAAGGAAATGGGAGTTTGATTCCACACTGTACCTCCTAGGAAAAGCCAGGCTACGTGGCCTTGGGCAAGCTGCACAGTCCCCAGAAGAAGGGAATGGTAACCCAATTTTGAGTATTCTCTTCCTAGGAAACCTAGGATTTTTCAGGATGCTCGCAATATAAGTAGGAAAAGCCAGGCTACGTGGCCTTGGGCAAGCTGCACAGTCCCCAGAAGAAGGGAATGATAAACCAATTCTGGGTATTCTCTACCTAGGAAACCTTGGATATGATCACCATCATCATAATCATAATCATCATCATACCAGGCAGAGTCAATCAAAATAATTTTAGAATTTTAGAAGAGGAGTACATTTTTTCTAATAGTTGCACCACCCTCCTAAAAGATCAGTCTGTAGCATTTGCTATTTACATGGGATGTGTTATTGCAGTTTTATGCTGTCAAGCAGATTGCTTATTTTAAGTGAAAAGTGTAGAAGGAGATCTAATAAAATATATTATTCAGAGTTTCTTGATATACTCCCAGTGAACTAACTTTCAAAGTTGTCCTCAGCTCACTTATCAATTTTACCAAACTGTTTTACCAATGAGCAAAAGTGAATTTCAAACTTTGAAGAAAAAGTGACTTTGAAAATGTTCACTTTGTTATTCACTGCCAAATAAAAATTATTTATAATATTTGTCCACCACAAAGTTTATTACCAGGCAAAAAGTATTGACAGAGTTGCTCATTGTGGCTAAGCTACCGTGTTTCCCCAAAAAGAAAACAGGGTCTTATATTAATTTTTGCTGGATAAATCAGTAGAAGTAGAATACATGAGTCAGCATGCCCTCCCCATTTATACAGGAAATAGTGCCCGGCAACACAGGCATTTATTAATCTTATGACTCCTTCACAAGATTAATAAATCTAAATTCTGCTAAATCTAACGCTGATCATAAAAATAAGAAAGGTAAAAGTTGAGAGGAGAGTTCAAGGCCCCACATAACTAGCAAGCTCAAGTTTAAAAGCTGAAGAAAAAAAGTATACTACATAATAAACTGAAATGGACGACTTTATAGCTGTTTGTGCTTTGAATAAAAATTACTATTTGCACAGTAGTACCCTGTTTCCCCCAAAATAAGACCTAACCTGAAAATAGTATGATTTTTTAGGATGCTCGTAATATAAGCCCTACTCCAAAAATAAGCCCCAGTTAAGTGAAACCCCGCCCTCCACCATTGTGCAGCAACCAGAAGATGACATGACCATATTTGAATAAATGTAGATTGTTGTACATGAAAAAAAAAATAAATAAAACATCTCCTGAAAATAAGCCCTAACACATTTTTGGAGCAAAAATTAATATAAGACCCTGTCATATTTTCGGGGAAACACGGTACTAGCAGTAGTAAACTCAGAACTTCAGAGTTGGAAGGGAGCCAGTAGATTATGGAGTGTAGCCCTTATCAAGGAAGCACAATGGGAAACTTAACTCCCAACTTCTGGCTCAGCAGCCAGATGTCTACCCCATTGAGCTAGTTCAACATTTATTACCTGGTCTCCAGCAATGTTTGGTTTCGTGGGGCGACAAGGTAAGTGACAGATACACATCCTGTAACCTGGAATGCAGAAAGACCATTGGTCATCTCACTATTTGATATATACACTGAACAGATACAACAAAGATGGTAAATTCAGGGAACTTCATTTAAAGCTGTCCACTGTTACTTCTGCAGTCATTTAACAAAATGAATTGACTTTATCTCTGGACCTAATGAGGGGTCTTTGTGAATAGTTGTTGGGATTTGGGAAAACTTGGAATCTGAAGCACTGAGCAGAGTTTTAAAACAAAACAAAAGCTTCAATTATAATGCTGGGTTTGTGTTTGCATAAGCAGTGGCACTTCAGCCATCTTTACCTTCAAATTCCACAGACACTTTCCAGTGGAGATTCTGAAGGTGCCGATGCAGCTTATGACCATAACAGGATCTGAACTTCTCTTCCGGACATAGGGGACAAGACTTCTTGCCAGCTGATTGAAGCAAAATAGAAAAAAAAGGGATGCACCAACGCAGACTCTTGTTTTGAGATCACGACTGCTTAGAAAATGTCAGATAATATTACTGACCTTTACAAACTCTTAACGAATTCCACCCACCTACCCATCCAAAAAATGAAAACAATCTACTTTGCCACATATTTCCAGCACTTTTGCAACCCAAAGATACTATTAAGAAGGTAAATTGTTCATGGATCCCTTTGCACTGATTGAATAGGTTCTAGCTTTAGGGGTAACAAAGCAACCACCTGGGGCAGCCGACTTGAACAGAACTTCTTGCCTCTGTGGTATAAAGCAGAAAATAGAACTCTCTGCAAATCTTACCTCTTTCACAAGATTAACACAGGTACATTCTGCTAAATCTAAGTTTGATCACAAAAATAAACCATGCTCTTCCTCTCCCCACCTATTCTCTTTATGCTATAGACACCATGCTTTCCTCTCATCCTCCTCTGTGAAGATACCTCAAGTAGATTTCCTAGCTTAGGAGTGACAGTAGAAGTAGAGCTGCAAGCTATACATGCAATAATATTTATCTCTCTTAATTTCTCACACACTCATTTTATACACAAGCCTTGAAATGATCTGACATACCACTACAGATATGCAAATAATTAGAGCTTGTAAATCAGCAAAGTTCATGGCTTCTTATTTGGTTCCTAAATTCAGGCCAAAAATACATCTTCCCCGGAAAATCAAATTATTTACTGTTTCTTTTTGTTACTGTCAGTCAACTACCCTTCCAAGGAATCCAATGATATAAGCATTCCCTTTCAGACACACTCTGCTCACCTCAGGCACTAGTTTTATTTAATACCTGCCATTTGATGGTCTGCATTTTGGGAAACGGTTGAGATTAGGCAACTATCCTTCAAGTCAGCCAGTTTCTCTAGATCAGCAAGCGTCCTCTGAATTGAAACATGTTTCTCTATAGGAAAACAATTCAATGAATTTTACCATTAATGTTTTTGTGTTGCACAGAGATTCACAATCAACTGCTACTTAATTTTATTCCTCCCAAAAGCTTTCCAGGTATGTGGGCCTTTTGTGCTCTGCATCAGTTAATTCACTCTCTACTTGCTTATTCACTAAACCACTGGTTCTTGACCTTGGGTTACTCAGGAGTTTTGGACTGTAACTCCCAGAAGCCTTCACCACCAGCTGTCCTGACTGGGGTTTCTGGGAGTTGCAGTTCAAAAGCATCCGAGTAACAAAGGTTAAGAAACATTGCACTAAACCATATAACCATACTGTCTATTGCTTCCTTTTCTCCTCCTACATCTCTTCTGCAAAAATGAGCAAAATATAAAACTATTCTATGCCGTATAACAATTCATGCCAGATTTTAAACAAAGAACATAAATTAACTAAGTACAGATGAAACAAACTAAATATCACATTTCTTTTAGTTTACCTGTACTGGAGAACTTGGGTTTGCTCAGTGCATATTTCCTCTGCTCTTGTGCTAAACAAATAAAGAAAAGTGTTGCGCCATGGCTGTTCCTAGAAAATCTATTCTATTCTTTATTTTCAGTTTTTATCTTCTGAAGTAAAATGCTCCTAATCATATTTTTAATTACATTTTGTTTTCAAAAAGGAGCTTTCAGAATGTTCGCAAACAGCATAGATTTGAATAAATAATTATTTATGTGCTTTTTATAGCATATACTCAAAACATTGTTTGAGTGTTTGTTAGAGAAAGGCATTCTAGAAATATTATACATGTATTAGTCTATTTCGGAACCAAACACAAGATGTTTGTTCTTTGACAATAATTTGGAATATTTACTGCAAAACACATTTGTTTCCTATGCATATTTACTTGGAACTAAGTTCCACTGTGTTTCACAGGCTTCTCTTCTAATTACTGTATTTTGGTGCTTTGAAAATGATTCATTCACCACACATTTTGGTGCTGTGAGTATGTCTACCTTGGTTTGAAGTCGTGTATTTTGATACTTTGTATGTTGTTGTTATGAACTGTGAAGTTACATCAAACTTACAGTGACCCTAATAGGGTTTTCAAGGTGTATTGCTACTATACGTATTTTTCAAGGTGAGATATTTAAGGAGTAGTTTTACAATTATTATGGCTCCTGTAAGTACATATTGTAAAAGACATAAGAGGCAGGCTTCAATGTTGAATTTCCACAGGTAGAATAGTGACATCTAGAGGATGCAGAACTCGGTCCCCCCCCCCCATTTCCACTGCCATCCCCAAAATCTGTTGCTGAAGGCTGAAAATCCTCCACAGCTGATTTTGAGGCATCCCTTAGGGCTGCTAGAGGTTCTGTCAGGCTGGATTTCGGAAGACACAAGCATCTGTAGTAAAGAAATGGGTACTTCTGACTAAACATCTTCCAATATCTCTAATTGAAAAATGTATGTTTAGCATTCTAGTTGAGTAGCAGTAAGTACATATGACTATTCACTTGCATTTCAGCAAATACTTGAATGAATGTAACTAAAGGCTGATATTCTAAATCCTGTACATATCCCCTACATACCACAAACATTCCTACGTTAAGGCAGCAAACCTCTTAGACAGTCAGATGATGCACCCAGTACGTCACTTTCTTTTACAGATTCTTGCTCCTCTGTTTCTTCCTCTGTGATTTGTATTTCTTCCTTCATTATTTCCACATCTGGACAGGGGCTTACAATTTTCACAGCAATACCCATGCCATCTAGAGAAAATTGAAAAAAACCCCTTCACAATACATTTGTATCCACCTCATTAGTAGAAATTCAAAATGCACTGGTAGTACAACTACATGGGGGGAGCATAACTATGGATTGGATCCAGACTAAGTTATACTCAAGAACGGACAAAATGATATTAGTGGAACTTACATTTGACATTACTAACTTAAGTTCCATTGATTTCCCTCATTCTACACTAATTATGACTAAACCTAGATTCGACTGTTTGGAATGAAGGACACGTGCCCATTGCAGGCCTTCCAGAAATTACTAATTATTATGGATGCAGCACTTCAACACTTTCACCATGATTAAGAGATGGGATCATATAATTCTATTCCCTCTTCAATTTCTCATCTCCTGGATAGAAATTTCTCTCACATTTGCTCTGACTTTTTAACCATGTTTTAACTATAACAACCAAGATTTGAAGCTCTTCTACAAAATGTAAGTAAAGTGGAATATGGTTGATGGCAATCATGGTTAATGTGAGTGTGTATGACACCTTCTTAATGCCATGCTTGCTCTATTAATGGATATGATTACAGATTATGGCTGGGCGTGCGGCAGGTGGCTCAGCAGCATGGGGTGGCGGGCAGCCCAGTGGTGGCCTCTGGCCACTCAGGCATGGCCGGCTCTACTTCCTTCCCTCCGTACTGCCCGCCTTCCCCCCCGGCCGGCACGGCCCCGTGTCACTCACTCAACGGCGGTTCCTTCCTGGCCCAACTGAAGTGCACCCGGCGTATAAGACGACCCCCCCACTTGGAGTCATGTTTTGGGGGCCCAAAAAGTCATCTTATACGCCAGCAAATATGGTATTTCCTGTTTTCAGCCAATAAATTGTGAAAACTAAAATTGTGAAAACTTTTTTCAAATCACATTTTCTAATTCATACTGTTGTTTGTGACATCTATTTTCATCTTAAAATAATGTTGTAGAATATTAGAACAATACCCCTTTTCCTTCCCAAAGGCTGTATTATGAAAACTGCAATCAAAAATGCAAAGCCTAAGTCAATACCAATTTTCTTTCTCTCCTTTCTAAGTGCATTCACATACTCAGGATCTTGTCCAGATGAAATTTCTTGGGTCAGGTGATTGTAGGCATTCATTAGGTGACATTAATCTTAATCATAATCTTAGAATTGCATTGCTGGAAGGGATCCTATGGATCTTTTGAGTCCAACCCCTGTCAAAAAGGCACCGTGGGGAATCAAACTCCCAACTACTGGCTCCGCAGTCAGATACTTAAACCACTGAGCTTCTTTTGCTAAGCATAAACTGATAAAATCTGAATTATGTTCTCCTATCTAGCTGCCTGGGAGACAAATATGCAAAAGACAGAAAATGGAAAAAAAACATGTTTTACATTTTATTGTTGTTACCTTCTACAGCACATGCATTCAAAAAGAAAATGTTATCCTACATATTCAATCAGAAAAGTATTCTGTACCTGGGTTATGTGAAAAGTGCTGTCCAATGTGGATGGGCAGGTGAGAATGTGAGAGAAACAAATGCACTCTTTCATTACATTTACTTTCATTTTCTTTATAACATCCTGACTGTGCATGTTTTATCCATTAATCTGAGGACATTTTTTCATCTGAGGAGAAAGACTGTGTAGTCTTCACATTGAATTCTATGACACATTTGTTAGTCTTAAGTTGCCACAGGATTCTTGTTTTTTTGTTATGAAACTATAGTTATGAAAACTGCAAAGGAATCTTAAAAATCAACTCCAATGGACTCCTTTACTGTATTTTATTTTGCAACCTGTGGCCCTCCAGATTTTGCTGGACCACAACTCCCAGATGCCTTAGCCAACACTGTCCATAGTGTGAGAAATGATGGAAGCTGCAGTCCAGCAAGGTGCCCACTGGGAAACTGATCAACTCTCCCCTTCCAATCAGCTCCTCCACTGAGAGAAAGTTATAGCTGAACTGGTTCATTCAGGGAGGCTGTGCATAGATAGCATCACGCTTTGTTCCCGGTGAGGTTGTATGTAAAGCAAGTCCTGCCCTTTCTGGAGACTCCTCCCAACTCCAAGAGCCAGTAGAGCCAGAAGATGTTAACCTTCCCCCCTCAAGGAAGGCGGCAAGGCGTGTTCCTGCAGAAGTCACTCCTCCATGCTCACCGCCACCCAGTCAACAACAGGGAAGAAGTGAGAGAAGGCTAGTTCAAAGAGGGAGCACCCCGATGTGGTGGCCCCATCCATCCACTGCAACCAACGCGCCTTAGAAGCACACCTCGCCAGTGCAAAGAGTGACGGCTGCACTGAGTTTTAGTCCATCCAGGACGCACACGCCACAAAAAGTGTACCTTAATCTACAGGAAGTTGCGGGAAACACTTATCTAGGGGCTTGGACTTTAACGTAGGAACGGGTTGGCCTGCTTCCTCGTGGGGAGGATTTCCTCGAACTGATCCAATGGGTAACACACACACACACACACATACACAAGACCCGCTGCAGATACAATCCCACCCGCCCCATCCCCCCCCCCACATCTCACACAGGGAGAATGCCCGGGCACGCCCTCGCCCGCGCCCTTTCCTTCCTTACTGAGTCCCGCTCCTCGCTCGTCTTCCTCCTCCTCCTCCTCCCTGTCTTCCGCGCATCCCTTCTCCTCCGGGGGTGGCGACAACCGGGGCTGCCCTTTCCCTTCCTCGGCCGCCATCTTCCCCTACGGAAGCAGAGAGGAAGGGGAAAAGGAGGCGGCGGCTGCTCCCTCCCCTCAGTCTCCCCCCGGCAAGAGGAACGGGAGCGTTGCTTGGGGTTGGAAGCGCGGTCAAAAGTCGAGACGGCCTCGGCGGAGGAGGCGGCAACCTTCGAGTCGCCACGCCTCCCGGCGACCAAGGAACTACGTCGCCCAAGAGGCAACGCCGCCGCCCCTGAAACTACAATCCCCGACGTAGGCACTAAAGCCGGCCGGGGCCTCGATGGGAACCGGATATACCGCCGCCGGTAAAAGGCGAAAGGTCGTGGGTGCAGGAGAGGCGGCGGCGACGACGACGCGGAAAGCCCGGGTGACTTTTTCGTGTGGCTGCGTTTTGTTGTAAAAGGGAAGCCTCCGCGATCTCCCGGCAGGCAGCGGCTTTCCTCGCCGCCTCAGAAACGAGCCCCCAAAAGGCTTCAGGGGAGACGAGGAGCCGCTCCGAGCCCCACGGAAGTGGGGGGACGTCTCCGTCTCTAAGAGCGGGCTTTCCGCCTCTCGGGTCCCTTTCCCTCCTTCCTTCTCTTTAAGAGGGGCGAAAGAGGCACCTACCGCGGAGGGCACGACGGGCGAAAACACGCGAGTTGGCTGGCCGTCGGGAGTCGTCACCCCCTGAAAAAAGGTAGAAACAAAGCCCCCGGCGTGAATTTGTGCTCTTCGTAAGTGGCATGATGTGTGAAAACTATGATGTGCTGCTAACAGTTTCTGTGCTGGAAGAAGAGAAAGAAACTGAACCACAAACAGATCTTAAGGGAAGTCTAACTGGAGGGCAGTATCGTCCACGAAGACTCCTTCCAAATCCAAATAGTCGGCCTTTGTAGTGTAAGTGCCTCAAGACGTTTTGTTTGTTTTGCTGCCCACTCGGCTCCCTTCCTTCACCGCCCAGTGTTGTGCCCTCTGTATTTATTGCAGGTGTGGGCGAAAGGGGAAGGCAGCCCGCAGGCTGGGACGGACGCCTTGATACGAAACTCTTCTTCGGGTTATTATAACCGTCGAAGCCCTTCGGGGAAAGGGCGCCGGAGTGGCCGAGTAAACGGGCTTCGAAGGGGACCGTGGCTCTCGAAGGTCCGTACGCGTTGAGCGGGCGAGGGGGCAAAACTACAGTACCCAGCATGCACCCCGAGAATTTTCTTTATTTATTTCATTTTTTTTAATGGTGATGGGCAGAGACTGCAACGGACGCTCAGCATTCGTTGAGATGCTACAAATAGAGCCGGGTTGGCTCGTCGAAAGATCAGCGAGCTGCCCCCCCCCCGGGAAAGAAACCTTGAGGAAAAAGAGGTTAGCGGCTGAGAGAGTTGGCCAGTTGGTGAGGCATCCCTGGGGGAAGAACAGGTATTTCCTTTGAAAAGGAGACATGCTCCTTGGAGATGTGTATCCAGCTCCTTGTGTTCCATAATAGATGAAAAGCACTACCATGACAGGGAATCCGGGTTTGCCTTCTCTCACCCATCTGGACTGTGGTAGGGAGGGGAAATATCATCATATCATCACCAGACCTGGAAGGGACCCAGTGGATCCATGGTTCCAGATATTATCAAGGAGGCTCAGTGGGAAATCGAGCTCCCAACCTCTGGCTCCACAACCAGATCGATACCTAAACCACTGAGCTGTCCTGCAGTGTGCAATGCTTGTGGCAGGAAGCATTTAGATGAACAATTTTGATTGCCTTTGTTGTCTTTACAGAGACAATTCTTTCAAAATTGGTGGAGTTTGTCCCCAATTCTTGGGGAGGAAGCAGCATATGAAAGGAGATTCTATAAGATGTGTAGGAATTTGGCAGTGGTGCTCTTCTGTGTTGTGTCCTGGTTTTGTAGACTTTGGCTTAGTGGGGATGTTTTTAGGGGTTGTTTGACAGGTAAATAATGATGAAAATGTCCTGCTAGATTTCTGCATGACTGACTGCTGTTCAAGTTATGAGACTAAGTCTGAATAATTTTCTTAGAATTTTGTTTGCAGCCTCACATGCTGCCAGTGGTTTGTGTGCCTGGGAAGGATTTTTTGGTTTGAGATGATGGTTTATCTCTCCAGCACTTACCAATTGTTCCTAGCAGCCTTTGAATAGAAAGAGACTGTCTTTGGTATGGGTTTTCTTTCCTCTGTTGGATTCAGGGTTTTTGTTTTGTTCTGCTATTGATCTGTTCAGCTGGTTGCTTAAGTATATGTGCCGTAAAGAAAGTAGCATACACAAAACTGTAATTTTAAGCAACTGTAAGTAAATTGGTTTTTATTCTTCTTCTACAAATGTCTCAGAGTCATAGAAAATGTGTCAATTAATGAGAAGGAGGTGGGCTTTGGGAAATTTAGCTATTCTCCTCTGTGAATAATAGTAGGGAGTGGGCCAACTCAGCCTCCAGACGGAACACATTCCACAACCCGAGAACATCCCCAGAAAAGGTTTCTCTCTCACATTCCCATCAGATGTGCTTCTAAAGAGAGTGGGATTGAGAGAAGGGCTTCCTCTGATCTTCTTAAGAGTGGGGAAGGCTGTAAAGCCGTAAACAGCTTGGGTCCAAGCTGTCTAAAACAGTGGTTCTTAACCTTGTTCTTAAGAGTGGGGAAGGCTATAAAGCCCTAAACAGCTTGGGTCCAAGCTGTCTAAAAAAAGACCATGTCTGATGGTCTGAGAGGGATTTTTAAATGAATTGTTGTGTTCTGTTTTAAATGTATTTTAATATTGATTTTATTTATCATTTTAATATAATTCTTGTTTAATTCTTTTTAATATTTATATTTTTATCACTTTTGGATGTTGTCTTTTTAATTATGTATGCTGCCTTCGGACCTGTTTGGGTAGAAAGGCAGGATATAGATATTTTTAATTAATACATTAATAAATAGGGAGATAAATGATCCCTAATTCACATAGGATTTTATAGGTAAAAACCAGCACCTTGAACAAGCTCGGAAACAGAGTGGCAAAGTTATCCCCGTCATTATTGCAAATATTGATTTAACATAATCTTACTAAACAAGTATTGCTGTAATGTGTTACGTTTTTTAAAATGTTGAAATTTATTGTGATTAGTTGATTTGTTTTCAAGTAACATGTGAGCTGCCTTGGGACCCTTGCAGAAAAGGCAGCATACAAATGAAAATAAATAAAATGAATAATAAATAAACATGGATGAGACTGTAGACCAATAGCCATAATTTATTTTCCAGCCTGAACAGAGAAATAGAGAAACTCTTTTTACCACTGGAATATGATGAGACAGATTTATTTTGCTGATAGACAGGTTCTTCCCATTTGGCCTTCCCATGTACGTTTTCTCAATTATTGTACTTTACTGTGTGTAGTGAATCTATGGAGAAGCTTTTGCAATGGAGTGACCATCTGTGGTCCTCCAGGTTTCTTTGCCCTACAAATCCTACCCGCCTAAACCAGTAGGTGAGGGATTATGGGAGCTGCAGGCCAAAAATTTACAAAGTACATGGTTGCCCCAGGTTTCTTTGGCCTACAAATGCTACCTGCCTAAACCAGTATACTTAGTGGTGAGGGATTATGGGAGGTGTAGGCCAAAAATTTACAAAGTACATGGTTGCTTACCACTGCTGATGCAAGCTCCCCTGCTACTAGAGGCAGCAGGAGAAGTACTACCAGTGCCTCTTGCTGCTGCTGCAAACCTTACTATCCCTTCTCGCACCTCAGTGCTGCTCAGAAATGTTTATGGAGCAAGGGAGGAGGAGGAAGAAAATGTTGATAGCAGCAGCAATGGAAGGTTTTGAATGGTTGCTGCCTGCTTGGTCATCTTTGGAGCCAAGTGATCAATAGCAATTCAGACAAGTTGCTGCCTCCACCATTGTTATCCTCTTCTCCCTTCTTCATAAACATCGTTCTACTTGGCAGAAGGGGAGGGGACCAGGTGTTGGCAAGCAGGTAAGATTCCACTATTTTTGCCAGTCACTCAATCCTTCTAATGGCTGGGATGGCTGTGCTGCCTGCTCTTGCCTTGTTACATAAGAAATGGTCAATAGCCTTATGATTCATCAAACAATATAAGAACTGAGAGATGTAAGATGAACTCAGATACACTTTCATTTATTGGAAAAGGGTCTTGGAAGGGAGGAAATTAACCCATCTGTCTGCCTGGAAGGAGGTGAGAGAGAAGAAAAGAGAATTCAGCATGAATTAGGTTTTCAATGAAAAATTACCTAAATATCCTAGCCCTACTATTTTTGAGCAAGGATAGGGAATGTGTATTCCTCTAGATATAGGGCTCCAACTCCTGCCATCCTTCTTCAACACGACCAGTAGGCAGAAGTGATGGAAGTTGTACATTTGGAAGGCTTCACGTTTCCCACCCCCAGTTTGAGACACATGGTTTTAGAAAGCCTGCGATGAGAAGAGGAATGTGCTCTAGTTAGTGCAAAGCAGCCAGCTGTGCTTTCTCCATTACCATCTGACAGAGTTAATATGGTCAGTTGCTTTCTTTCTGGTATTGTAACAGATGGGAAACAAACAAACCCCTCCAATGTATGACAGGAAAAAATCTTGATGTATGTATGTGAGTGTTTGGGAGTTCATTGACTAAACTGTTGACACAAATTTTAGGACTTAAAAGTAGCAGATATCATAGTATCATTATGAATAAATGAAAATTATTCAGATGTTTAAGCATGAAGTAGGGTGAGTGGTGGATAAAAATTAATGATTTTTAAAATCACATTTAAATTGTGATTTTTTTTAAATTTAAATTGCCCAGACTCCCAATTTTTAAACATTTTAAGTCAGATTCACTCTGTCTTGAAGTCTTATACAAGTCTACTTAGCAGTAAAACATACTGAATTCGTTGGAGCTTATTTGTAGGTGAGTATAAGACTTTTCTTGAGAATCCCCTGGACTGCAAGGAGAACAAACCTATCAATTCTAAAGGAAATCAACCCTGAGTGCTCACTGGAAGGACAGATCCTGAAGCAGAGGCTCCAATACTTTGGCCATCTCATGAGAAGAGAGGACTCCCTGGAAAAGACCTTAATGTTGGGAAAGTGTGAAGGCAAGAGGAGAAGGGGACGACAGAGGATGAGATGGTTGGACAGTGTCACCGAAGCAACGAACATGAATCTGACCCAACTCCGGGAGGCAGTGGAAGATAGGAGGGCCTGGCGTGCTCTGGTCCATGGGGTCACGAAGAGTCGGACACGACTAAACGACTAAACGAACGATAAGACTTTAGCCTTAGTATTTATTTATGAGAATGTGCTTCAATTAATTCTAACTGCAATCTTGTATCACTGACCTCAGTGTGACTCATTTTTGAACAGACAAAATTTTGAGACTGCACTGTCAGTTTTTTTCCTCGTTTTCTTCTTCACATGCAAAACGTTTCAAAAGGTAGTTGTTATTGCATTATTTTAAACCATTCTAGTGGATTGAGGAAACTTAAAGGCATATTGAATGCTCTTAGGCATAGTTTAAATAATTCCTGAGGAGATATTGTAAATGCATTTTGAAGTAAGTTTCTTTTTTTTAAATTTAGACATTGAACCTTGAACATGTCCAAAAGATACAAAAAGAAATCCAGTGAGAAGGATGATGATTCAGAGGACAAGGTATGAAAGTTGGTGAAATAGTATGTATTGAAAAAAAGTTTTTGCTTCAGTAGTTTTGAAAGCACGTTTGCAGTTACAGTATGTACAGAGAATAGGTAAACTCAGAGTGACATCATGAATTGAAGAGACCCAAACACAAATGTTGTTATTTATACAGTGGTGCCTCGTTTAACGGGCGCTCCGTTTTACGAAGAAATCGCATAACGATGAAGTTTTTGCAATCGCAAAAGCGATCACAAAATGATGTTTCCCACAGGGGAATTTCACTTTGCGATGATCGGTTCCCTGCTTCGGGAACCGATTCTTGAAAAACGATGATTTTCCTACAGCTGATTGGTGGTTTCAAAATGGCCGCCCGCTGTTTTCTGGGATGGATTCTTCGCTGCACGGGCAGCGAAAATGGCCATGCTATGGAGGATCTTCGCTGGACAGTGAGTTTCAAACCCATAGGAATGCATTAATCGGGTTTTAATGCGTTTCTGTGGGCTTTTTAATTTTGCTTTACGATGCTTTCGTTCTGCAGCAATTTCGCTGGAACGATTTAATATCGTAATGCGAGGCACCACTGTATTGCTAAATCCAATGGAATACAAACCGCTCTGCGAGCCACTCTTCAACTTTGCAGCGAGGCTTGTCCTCCAGCCTCTTGCCAGGAGTGGCTCACAGACCGAGAGCTCTGGAGTGATACCATATTTCCCTGAAAATAAAACAGAGTCTTATATTAATTTTTGCTCCAAAAACACATTAGGGCTTATTTTCAGGGGATTTTTTTTCTTTCTTGTACAACAATCTACATTTAGTCAAATACAGTCATGTCATTTTCTGGTTGCTGCACAATGGTGGAGGGTGGGGTTTCACTTCACTGTTTTTTTTGGGGGGGGGTAGGGCTTATATTATGAGCACCCTGGAAAAAAATCATACTAGGGCTTATTTTCAGTTTAGGTCATATTTTGGGGGGAAACAGGGTAGGAAGGGATTGTGGAGCCCACAGCAACAGCGGAAGGTGAGTGGACAGTCCGGCCCCAGGGGGGCTGGACCCTCGTTATGTCCCCCTGTGTGAGGGTATTTGTATATGAATATGAATACCCCTGTCTCTAAATACATCCATGGATCTTAAGTTACCGTATTTTTTCGTGTATAAAATGACACTTTCCCCTTAAATTATTAGAGGAAAAATTGAGGGTTTTATACACGGAAGGAGGCAGTTGCACGTGCGCTTGGCCCCTCTTGCTGCTGCCGCTGCCCAGTTGTCTCTTCCAGAGCTCACGGCTTGTCCCCTCCGGTGGCCGAGGCAGCAACAGGAGGAGGAGGCAGAGACGGAGGCGATGGAGCAGTTACACATGCTTGGGCACCTCTTGCTGCTACCTTCCCCACCTGCCCAATCGCCACCTCCAGTGGGACTGACGGGACTCAGCTCACGTCACCACCTTGTCCATTCCGGTGGTGGAGGCAGCAGGAGGTGGAGGCGAACAAGCACTCTCGCACGCTCATCCGCCTCTTCACCTCCCCCAGCCATCCTCTCCTTAGGGCAGAGGACAAGGCAGCGGTGTGAGCTGGAGGTGAGCCCTGGCAGTCACACTAGAGGACGTGATCAGGCAGGCAGCGGAGGCAGGAACAGCAGGAGATGGAGGTGGAGGAGCAGTTGCCCAAAATTAGGGGGTCATTTTATACATTGGGGGGTTGTATACACGGAAAATTAGGGCAATTGCAGTTAACAGGCCCAATTTGTTTCAGTGGATCTACTTTTAACACTGAATATAATCTGTAATACATTTAAAGCAAATTAATAAAAGTTAATTATACAATTATACAAAAGACAAATAAAGCAGAGTTAAGCAGCTCTGGCGCTCCAGATGTTCTTAGAGTTGTATTATTTCCTGTTACTTTCTTACTTACATGCCTATCAGGTAAGTGTAGATGTTTTGAAATAGAAGAAATGCATAATTAAACAAGGCATTTTACCCAACTATGTTATTAGTAATTCTGAAGATTTAATTTCATTTAGTTAACTGCTGACATATTGTTAAATTCCCAGACTAATTGCCTCCTCAGTTTAGAAATCAAATGAGCTAACCCAAAAGAAGCTGTTCCTCTTTCCATCACCACAGGTGAGGGAGTGTGGTATTAAATTAGTACATGTGTTAGTAGCGTTATTTTAGTACAATGTAATGGTTGTGTTACCGTCACAATATATTTCTACTTCATTTTAGTGTACTAACATTCTTTTTAAAAAGACTTCTAGTGTCAATAAGTCACATGACTTGTTTAGCTCCTCTTCCCCCAACACTAAAAACATAAAAGGGTTGAGCTGTGTATTCTAGTTTTGGAATGAACAACTGTACAAAGAAGGAGCTGAAGATGAAAACAATGCAATCTAAAGTGATGCAACAGATGTGTCTCTTTTTGATATATTTGCATCTATTGCTTGTAGGATGATTGTGTGAATGCACACCTTTAAAACTGTGTTTAGCATAAGTATTTTTAGCTGCTGTATCATCATCTCTATTCATCTCTTTATACTGTTGAAGCAGAATAAAGTTATATGTATGCTCTGTAAGCTAGTTGAATTCAAATTGATGGGCTCATATTTTCTTTTGCTTTACATTTTGTAATTTTTGCCTAAAGTAATAACACTCAACAAAAACATTAGACCAAATTTGTGGAGCTTAGGAATTGTGCTTGAGTGGGGAGTACTAATGGAATTTAGCTGTCTTTTTGGACTATGCTATTACCCTTCTTGCAAAAGAGTAGAGTGTTACTGTATATATGTAGAGGCTGATAATCATCCACATCTCTCTTGCAGAAACCTGAGAAGGCAGAATTGGGGAAGAGTAAAAAAAATGAACAACTAAGTCAAAGGTAAATTCTTCTTTGCTGCTAAAAACAGTTGCTTAGTCTGACAAATAACTGGTCTTTCTCAAGGATTCTTAAACATCCTTGCTTACACTGAAAATATTATGAGAAATCCATTCATTAATGTCAGGCCTCAGATTGGAGCACATTAATTCTTGCTGTTTAGATAATCAGATTCACACATCGTGCCTATATCCTGTTGCACAGCTGCACTTATGCAGTGGGAGTGATGCCATCGGCCATGATGGATTGCCACTAACTGAAGAGTTCTCTTTTTGATTTTGGGATACATGCACTGTCACACACACCCAGCTCCTCTATATGTTCTCCCTAACAAACAGATTTGCCTTCGGGCATGACAGTTTCTCTTGTCTCCACTTCGGCTGCCACCAGAGGAAATCCTTCCTCAATTACCAATTAGGACCACAGAATCAGTCATGTCAAATATAACATTGTTTATTAACAGATTAATATATTTAAGACTCAAGGAAATCATAAATGGTATTGGATATTCATTAAACTTCATATAACTTGTAAATATGTTGGTTACTTTGTATTTAGTTTCAATTACTTTAAAACAATTTATTTATTTCTCATAGTTTTCATTGCATTCAGGCCTCTTATACGTTTCTTTCCAAGGGTTTCTTTCCAAAACAATTCTTCCATCTAACTAACTCTTTCCCTAACTCCTAACTAACTGTCCTATATTATCACTGAAACCTCTAACTCCTGCCTAACTGAAACTCTAACTGATTATAACTGTCCTCCATTCTCTTCTTATATTCCTTGGTTCCGCCCTCCTGCACAACCATTGGCTACTGAATCAGTGTTCCATTGTGATGGACAGGTGTGGTTTCTGGCCTGTCCGTCACATGCACATCATGCACAATGATGCAAAGTCACGCAGAACACAAAATTGCAAAAGGAACTCTTTGATTACTAGCAACATGTCTGAGCTGTTATCATCACTCCGTATATTATTTTGCAAAAATAGGCAAGTCTTTAATGTGCACCTAAAACTGAATTCTTGTTGTGTGTCTGGTATCAGAGGGAGCAGTATTTCCCATATGGGTGCCATCATACTAAACACCCACTTCTGAAAAACTGTGGACCGGACCACAGGAACATATGACATCACCAGAAACCCCCCTTTCCATAACTTCAAAAAGTAAATGTGTCTGTAAGGGAAAAGCTAGTTTCCCAATTCATCAGGCCCCTAGGTGTTTAAAACTGTCAAAAAACAAAACACCCTTCAAACTTGTCCCTGTAGCAAGTGGGCAGCTAGAGCAATTCTTCCAGCAAAGGTCTTATTTACTATCATTACATTGCCCAATTTATAAGCCTGACTGAAATATTTTGCCTTAGTAGCAGTAATGTCCATCCTGCTCTCATTTAAACTTTCTACATTGACCTTATGGTGGGAGAACATGCATTCTCATCTAAGGCCACTAGCAAATGTGCTCCTCTAGAGCTGCATGGCAGCAGCATTTTTATTTGAACTGTGAAAGTAATTTAAACCATTCTATCTGCCACTTCTTCTGGATACCGTAATGAGTGAAGTAGAGTTCAACTCCAGTGTTTACTTTTAAAAATATAATTTGGGCTTTATTCCTTAAACTGCAAAATATAATCACTGTCACAGTGCTTTTGTAACCATTTCTTCTATAATGCTTTCACAGGCTAAGAGATAATGTTGTGTGCACAAAACTGAAAAGGAGTCTTGATCTCAAAGAGTCAACTAAAGATTCAAAAGATGTACACCACATCTGTGATAACTTAGCACCTCTGGAGGAACGTGAAAAGATTAGTGTTTATTTTAAAAATAAGGCTAAACATGTTGGGAAGAGAAGTAATGTGGATTCTGTAGCAGCTTTCCCTAGCAAGGAAGAGTTTGACACAACTTTTAAAAGAAAGAAAAAGGAGTTGCAAGACTTGTGGATCCTGAACAGCAGGGAAAAGTACAAAAAGAAGGACAAAGTGGAGCACAAGAAACTAAAAGAAAAAATTAAGAAACATGTATTAGTGGAGTTCAAGGACACTCTTCACCCTACAGACTGTTCTTTGGTTCATAAGAAAAAGGCTTTGGACTCCTATTATTGTATCAGAAAACATAGTACTTCAAAAGAGCTGAATGCCTCAGCTTTTAATTTCTCAGGTCCTAAAATGCACATACAGAATAGCAGAGAAGAGACTTATGAAAGAGCCAAGCATAGTTCATTAGAGCAACCTAGCAAAAATGAGAAAGAGATGAAATGTCAACCTTTGTGTCACACGATCGAACAACCCAAACCCTGGAGGGACAAACAGAAAGAGGAATGGCGTACTGACACAGCCAAGAACACTGATCATGTGCCGATCCAAGAATTCACGTTCAAGCCTGTTACATTTAGGAGAAGTCAGGTAATTTAAAAAGTTGTGATAAGAATTGGGTTTGAAGTTTATATCTGTAGAAACTAGCAACAGGGGTGCACAATATCGTCCTTGTGCCAGTTATGGAGGAACAGTAGAAGTCCAGTTATATGGCTGAGAAGTTGTTGCTTACACCGTGCCATTTAATAAATGTGGTTATTGTATCTCTTCATAAGCAAAATAAGATAGGGATCATCCTTGCCTACAAAGAGTTTACGCTGTAATTTTTTGGGTTGGGAGAAGCCAGAATTCTTATGTGTATCAATCTAAGTCTAACTGTATCAATCTAAGTAACAAATTGCCATTAGTTAAGAAGTTGACTCTCTATCTCTTCTTGTACACCAGTCACATGACTTGGTATGCAGTAAGGAATATAAGTGACAATTCCTTGACTGGTGCCAATTTGCCACTGTGATTCATGCTGATTGTCTTAATGCCAACATACAATGTGTAAGTAATAGGATCCTGGCAAAAGAGTAGAGAGGCTAGCAAATTAGTGTACTTAGATGTCATTATTAATGGGTTGGAAGATCAAAGTTGACCTAAGACTTCGCAGAAGATGGGCTTTGATGTGGAATTTCAAAAGAGAGGAAACCTTGGTGTCAAATACGTATAAAAAAACAGTTCTAAGCATAAATGGTAGCAGAAAAGAATGGTTTTCATTCTGTTGAAAACATGAAACCGAAATTGTCATACAGAGAAGAAAAAAAGCTGTGTGGCCCTTATACACAATCAGAAAGCAAGAATGGCTGATATATTTTTATTAGACTACTAAAATATCAGACAGATGCTAGCTTTTGAGTCTTGCAGGATTCTTCATCAGGATGAGCTTGCAGATCTGGGGGAGGGCGAGCGTTAGACCAGGCTCTCTTTATGAAATTCTGTTCAGCCTTAATATGTTCTGTAAAAGCATAACCCTTCAGTTCATTTAGACCAGGGCCCTCCAAACGTTTGAACATGAGGGCCACATCGTATATTTTCAACACTTTAGAGGTCCGAAGGAACATGTGTGTGCAGCTGCATGCACATACACACACACACCCCTGCCCGAATGCCTGCCCACCTGCACACACGCATGCCCCTTCGCCCAACTGCCCGCTGAAGGGAATGAGTGGGATAAAACGGCAAGGCGGGCTGGATGTGGCCCTTGGACCATAGTTTGGAGACAAATAAGCTTCTTTCATACTTTTTCCCTCCTCCCTAGACAAGCTCACAATAAAATGGCAACATTACACTTAGGAACCACTAAAGCTGTTTTTCTTTAGAAGAAAATATTTGGTAATGCATAGAACCTTATAGGGTTCCTTTTGTTGTTGTTTTGTTCCAGAGCTCTGAAGCCTTGACTCTCTCTTCCTTTGGAGCCACTGGAAGTACTGATGCAGATGAAGAGGTTGGTGATTACATAAATCTGATTTGCTGTACATATTGGCATTTTTAAATGGTAATACTGAGCTTATGCTTTCCATATATTCCCTATTCCATTCTTTTTTAAAAAATTGACTTTTAAAGTAGTTACAATTAACAACAACTGACAAGAGAAAGCACACAATGTCTAATATTCTATCAATGAGAGGCACATCCCAAATAGTATATTATTTTGAAATAGCATTCCTTTACTTCTTAGAGTCATTTTTAAAAAAAAGATGTATGTCATATTACATCTGTCAAAAGATTCTCATGTGCCTTTGGTGTGCATAATATGCCAAACTGGGCTTAAAAACAAAATAAATTGATACCGCATACTGACAAATTAGTCTGTCTTTGATTCAGTTTCTTGTATACAGGACATATACTGTATGTTGTCTCCCTGTTCCTCTGTTTCATCATCTTGATTTGGATATGGCAGATCTAGAATTTCACTAAATTTATTTGCTTGCACATTATGTTGTACATTGTTGTGGTGGATAGGCCCAGCATTAAGGAATCTCTTTCTTCCTTAATAGTGAAGTAAATTAATTTAATTCTTGCCTCTTCCTTGGGGGTGGGGTGGGGGGGATACTAACCAAGGGATGACCCAAATAGCTAAATTAACGCTGAACGCACTCAGTGGCCATAGAACGCTGAATGGTTATTAAATGGGAGGGAGTGGCACTCATGAAGAAGTACAGTCTGTACCGCAATATTTTTCTGGAGGCAAAGAAGACCATCTTCAGATGGGGTGCTAGGAGCAAAGCATATGCAAATAGATAGGCAAGCCCTCCTGGAGGAGGAGCAGTCCCTTGCCCTTTTCTTTCCTAGCTCCAGGGTAGGTTTTTTTAAAAAACACAATTTGGCTTGCCTTTGATCTTCCGGTCTTTTCTTCTTTAGTATTTACCTGTTCTTGTCTCTTTTGTGTTATCTTTACTGGTATAGTTCTATTTGTTTCTAAAAACAAATAACCTCTGCCCAGGCCACAATGTATCCTGCAAACCCATTATCATCATTCATGGAAAATAGTTCCAGCAGAGAGAGGAAGGAGGCGATTTTTGCTGCATGGATTAATGTCACTATGCGAGGCACCACTGTACAGATTTTTCTCATGCTCTTGGAATAATTCCAGTGGGATATTATGGGCTAGCCCTTCCTGAATTTCTATACCAAGCTTAAACCCAGTTATGGCTCCAAAGATAACATACATACCATTTTTCTCACCAATAATGATACTAGTTGTGGCATTCACCCTCGTGACCCCTGTTTGTCTCACTAAACACAGAGTTCACAAAGGCAAACCAAAACACCTCTTGACATGCTGCCACCAATTGATCTCTTTATCAACATACCTTACGTAGAAAAGATGAAGGTCCATTCAGTACTGACTTTTTAATAGAACAGGATTATTGATTACAATTGATTTCTGGAACAATTCATAAGCACAATCTTCAAGTTTCATCAAGCTTCAGTATTAACCTTCTATAGTTATTATCACAATTTACACTCAGACTAATCACTCCTCAAACCCCCAACTATTCTTCTCTCCCCGATTCCTAACACAGACTCTGACTAACTGATTCTCCTCTCAGGCTCTGCCTTTTAACATTCCTTTCAGCCCCACCTCTTAACCACCTTAGCATATAACTCATGAATAATACATAACTTATTGCATAACAAGGGTGAATGCTACACCAGTTTATTAATTTTTTTAAAATTGCAATCAAATAGGTGTTGGTTATTATTATTATTTGTATGTTATTTGTTTGATCCCCTTTGTATTTGTACATTCACCATTGTAAGCTTTAAATGCCATCTTTTAATGATGCAAGCTGCCTTGTGTCCTCTTTAAGGAGAAAGGCAGGGTAAAATTACTTTAATTAAATAAAAATAATATTTTATTTATTATTTTAAATATTTGTTACGCTGTCTTTCTCTGTGAAAAGGATCCAAGGCAGCTTACAACAGCGAAAGACAATATTTAAAGTTGAAAACTATGAGTATAAAAGGTGGTTACCATCATTAGAAGACAATTAGTAAAGCTAAGAACAATAAGTATACAATTTTTTAAAAATATGCAATTAAAAATATTACAGTATATTATCTATAGTTTATGCTGTTGTTGAGGTAATGGTTGTAGTTGAGGCAGGCAGGGACATTCGGGAAAGGAAAGAAGCATGAGAGCCAATGGCCTTGTTACAAATCTATTCCTTTCTTCATTAAGAAGGAGGCTGTGTGCAAATTATAATCCTCTTTCTTGGTAACTGCCTTCTAGTTCCAGTCTTGTTTGACCTGCAGTATTGAGACTTAGACTGAGCACTCCTCCATTGTAGTGTTTACAAATTAAACTTTTTGCCTCAGTGTCAATAGATGCAAATCGCTTCTTTATGTCTTCCCTGGAACCTGCTTGCTCTTACTGCTTCCCATTTGCCTGCTGTCTCTCTCTGTCACAAACACACCATGGCCAAAAGACAAACAGCAAGGCAAGCAGAAGTGGTGGTCCTTTTCACTAGTGCTTGTTGCTACTCCTGATTTCAGGTTTATACTGCTGTTTTTACAGATGCAGATTGTAGAAGATTTACATGCTGCTCGCAATGACAAAAAGATAGTTCTGCCTGTGGTGCAGACTTGTGGAGAGCTGACCAGCATGGAGATAGATCTTCCAGATGAAGAGTCGAATCTGTTTTCTAGTAAGCTGAGCTGTATCAAGGATTCATCCTGCTCATCAAGATGTCAGGAAGATGCAAATAAATAAATGAAGATTCCAAATAACTGGACTGCTCTATTTTTTCTTTTGTAACAGAAACTCATGCTGGCCTAAATGCGTTGATTGTGATTGATACTAATATAATGATCAGTCATCTAGAGTTCGTAAAGTCTTTGAAGAACAGAGATATCCCAGGTACTTATGGAATAGTAAGTTTGGTTTAAATGCAACACTGAAAGTTGATTGTTTCCTTGCTACCAATTTATTTCTTGGTTCTGCTTGAAGCCTGAACCCCAGATTTCTTGCTTGTATCACGTTGCCTGTGTTTTTCAATCCCTCTGGAATTATGCTGACCATATATGGGAAGTATCCACATATAATCCTTACTTTTAAAAATTTAATTTTGCTTTATGTAAGTAAGTATATGGCAGATAAAGCAGTGGTCCAAAAGGAGGCAACCTGAGACTGTTCTGCCTCTTCTGGCATCCTCTGCTTCCCAAATAAGTTGCTGTTTGGCCTCTTTCTTAAGCCGTACAGATTACCCAAAGTGGGAGACTGCCCCAGTCTAATTTGCAAAGGAGTGAACTGGGAATATTATTTTATAATTTTCTGTCCTGATGGTGCGATGATAGCAGCATAACTCCCAAAGTCAGGAAGGACAACAGAGTCCTAATGGCACTGTAGAGACTATATTTGTTACTGCATAAGTTCACATAGACTATTGCTTGTTTCATTAGAAATGTTACCTAAGATTCCAGGCATTGCTCATCTTCCGGTGTTGTGTTTGTTGACTTCTGTCTGCAGTGCCCCCTCCCTTCAAATATCCATTGTAGAGGAGAAAAACTTCAAAAGGGTGTTTGAATGGGAGACTGTATACGTATCAGTAGGATGTTCTAGTCTATCACCAAAGGTTTATATTGGAATAGTAGATTCTTGTCATGCCACATGTATTACTTGGCATCATGGTGTTTTATGTTATCAACAGTTTTAGGAGTGGAAAATTTTAATAAGGCACTTACCATTGTCAGTATTTTCTGCATTGAATTTCTTTCCAACTTGTTGCCTGCATTCTCGCCACCGTCATCTTTACAGTGTAAGTTAAACATACCAGAAACCCACTGCCCTGCATTTGAAGCATCTTTGGGGTAGAGAGAGAGAAAATCCAGAATCCCAACCAACTCTAGAAGGTAGTAATACCACCTCTTTGTCTTGTCCTATTCCCAGTCTCAGACGGGAGCATTCCATTTTTCAGGACCCACTAAAGGTTTGTTTGTTAAAGAAAACAAAGAGTAATAAGCCAAATAGCCAAGGGAGTAAAGGTACTGGAATTATAGTCAGGGATGCACACTGAGAGATGCATACACATACTCAGGGTAATTTTATTAGAAGAAAAGGAGTAGAATACAGTGGTACCTCGCAAGACGATTACCTCGCAAAATGTTGTGGGTTTTTTTGCTAGACGTTGACTTTTTGCGATCCCTATAGCAATTCGCAAAATGGTTTTTCCTATGGGGGATTTCGCTGGACGATGATTTGGTCCGTGCTTCGCAGACTGTTTTTTTCCCAAGACAACGATTTTTACAGCTGATTGGCAGCTTCGCAAAATGGCTTCCCTATGGGCGATCTTTGCAAAACGGGTGTTTTCAGGACTGATGCTTCACAAGACAGCGATTTAAACAGCTGATTGACGCTTTGCAAAATGGCTTCCCTATGGGCGATTTTCACTGGACGACGACTATTTCCCCCCCATTGGAACGCATTAAACGGGCTTCAATGCATTCCAATGGAGAAACGCTTTTCAGTAGACAATGTTTTCAAAAGACAGCGATTTCAATGGAGCGGATTAACATCGTCTACCGAGGCACCACTGTATAGGAATAAAAATCCAACAAGCTAGTTTTAGCTTTTGGAATATATATAGGAGGAAAAATAATAAAGCTAGCTATCCTGAGATATACATACCAATAGCAAAAAAGAAAAGAAAAGCAAGGTTTGAGCCCACAGATCAATACAGGAAAAAAGAACACCTCCACATAAGCTTCTACATAGCAAGAACACAAAAGGGCATGAAGGCAGAAAGAGCACCGACAGTACAAAGACACCAAGCAAACTATGTTTGTAAAAGCAAACTTTTTAGCTGACCCTTTGCGTTCATTTACATAAGACAATCCACATGTACACGTTGTCTTTTTCTGAAAGAGACAGGCACACTAATAAGTTAGGAACCTGGAATGCTGAGTGTTGAGAGACCTTGCTGCTAGAAGGATACAGACAGAAAATAGATTCCTTGAGCAAACTTAAATGTATTTTGAACAGTTGTTTCACAATACCTATATAATTCTGGGTAGCCCATCAACTACATTGACATTGTCTATGTAGTCAAAAAAAGAGCAAGTGCTATAATTAGTGTTTTTAACTTTATGGTGCCACAGGACTTTTCGTTATTGCAACAGATTAGCATGAGTACCCCTTTTGAAATTATTACAGTCAGAATCAGGACAATAGTAAAGCTCTGGCCGATTCCATCTTTAGTATAGTGGACCCTTGACTTACAGACGGCTTGACTTACAGACTTTTTGAGTTACAGACTTCTCTGGCCGCAAAATTTAGGTTTGACTTGCAGCCTGAGAATTGACTTACAGACCAGAAAAAAACCAAAATGGAACAAAAACGGCCTGTTACGGGATTAATCGGTTTTCAATGCACTGTAGGTCAATGGAGACTTGACCTACAGACTTTTTGACTTGAGAACCGCCTTCCAATACGGATTAAGTTCTCAAGTCAAGACCCCACTGTATGTGAGAATGTTCTGGGCAGCATACAGTATATGTGTTGCCAGTCTCCAGCCTGCTATTGCATGCTAAAGTTCAGAGTTTCTTAAAATAACATCACTTTTGAACTGGCGTGTTTTGGCACAGATTTGATATAACTAGGCAGTGCTCTTTTAGCCAGCTGTTCTTATTTTGGGTCACTGGCCAAAGATTCAGAGTTTTGGGTTAGATAATTCTTTTATTGGATCACTAAAATGATTTATAAGGTGAACTTCCAGATTTCTTCAGAACTCTTCATTAGGGGAAAATGGTATAAAATTGAGGTAAAGGCAATGCAGTTTGATGATAAAAACGAAATTTTAGAGTAGTGTATAGTTATGAACCTATGGCAGAATAGCTAGTGGTGAGATGAGTTAGTTTTTAAGATGGCTGTTTGAAGATCTACAGTAAAATTTTCACCAAAAATACTATTTTTCTTTTGTAGGTATTGGGAGATTTGTGCTTGTCATTCCTTGGGTTGTTTTGCAAGAACTTGACAACTTAAAGAGAGGGAAAATGCTGGCAAATGTTGGGGAAAAAGCAATTCCTGCCGTTCACTTCATTTATATGTGCCTTAAAAACCAAGATCCAAAGTTGTGGGGACAATCCATGCAACTGGCTTCGCAGAAAACATGTAAGCTATGCCAGGTCTGGTGGTTTCTAGTAGTATCTGTTGTGTAGTCCATGACACATTTTAGACACAAGATGATTCCCCCCCCCGATAACTGAAACCACTTACACATCTACAGTCTTACACTTCTAAAACCTTTCAGTTACCATGGTAAGAGCGCTTAATTCGAAATAGATCCTGTTAAAATCAGTGATGTCTATTTCAAATATATATGCAGCATTGCTCATAGAAAATGAAAATTCCAAAGGTGGCCTTTGCTTTGAATACCCCCTCTGTATATGGTGAAAGTGGAAATAAATCCTACTGAAAATTATGAAGCTTATGTTTGAGTAAGCATGGCTTAGATTGAGCAGTTTCCATAGATAATTTGTAACTCTTTTTCTCTGCATTAACTATTTATAAATGCAATAATACAGAAAAGAATACTATATGAACCCTCATACATCCTAGCCTTGCAGTATGATCCTGCCTTACCAGAAAATGTATTCATTTGCAGGATGTACTGAGTTACATCCAAGTCTAAATCAGGAGGGGAAAGCTTCAGTATTAAGAGAAAATTAGTATTATTATTCTTATAAAAATTCAATTAAAATTCTTTTTAAAATGTTTGTGTATATATTAGGTTTTTAAGGATTTTTATCTACTCTTTGCAAGTATTGGCCAACAAGTATGGCACTCACATTTGTGACATTTCAATGACCTGTCTGCTTGTCTGAGTGTCAGTTTTGCCCTGCACACAAGGGCAAGCAATTCATGACCTATGGGCTATATGTAGCCCTCAGGGCCATTTTTCAGCCTTTAAGGCTACCCTGAAGATCCATCCCCTTGATTTTTTTTCCACATTCAGCTAATGATGGTTTTTGCATTGGGAAGCTGGAAGGTCCCCTGAGATTCCCAGGCCTCATAAACCCCAAAGATACCAGAAGTGTCTATCCAGGCATTTCCTGTTTCTTTCTCTTTTTTCTAAAGTAGAAAACAGTAATTTTTGAGGTTTGGTGACCTATAGGGGGATCTGGGGGCAAATATTTGGCCTGCAAGGACATAACTGTTGTTTATCTGTACACAATTGTTTTCAAGCCTGATGAATGACACTGTATTCTCAAATACAGGATTGTGGGCACAATCATAGCAGATGCATACATTAAGATCATTCTTAATGTTTCTATTCCAGTTCTGAAAGTAATTTGTTAAGCAGTTTTATCTTGAGGAAGAGGGAGTAGATTTCAGGCTTGTTTGTTCCTTTCCCCGTTTCCATTACTGTGGGGAGAAGATGCTAAATGCACCATGGAGATCCTCTGATTTTGTAGAGTAGAATAGATTAACCTTATGAAGTAGTGTATGGCTACAGTATTAATTAAATATGCTTTGTACTTCCGAATATACTTATCAAAATCTCATTGTGATTCCTACATCAGGTAGACTCAGTAGTTGAATGGTAAATCAACACTTACATAAATCTTGTTGTGTCAATACTTTTATGGTGGTTGGGAACAGCAGCTGGATTTAGATAATTGCTTATGCATAGAAAGCAAATGGAAAACATCCAATGGCATCTTAAGTGTCAAGTGTTTTTCTTAACTTTTAGAACAGTGCTGTTTATTCAGAATCAAATTATTTCAAGAACATGAGATGCTGATCTATTTTACGAAATTTTCAGATAATTTTGTTATTGAGAACAATGATGATCGTGTCTTGCAATGCTGCCTGCAGTATAGGAACCTCTTTCCACAAGCTGAAGTTGTACTGTTGACGTAAGTATATTTCCAATTAGCAATCTAAATGACATCATAATAAATTCACAACTGTCTCGTTCCGGCTTTTAAAACAAGGAATGCCAGCTAGACCTTCATAGATAGACACTTTCTTGAAGAAGTGCTTATGACTATGTATATATCTGTAACCATGGGATCACTTTTAAATGTGTCAATATATTGTTTATACATTGGCTGAAATCCTGTTGCACATTTCTGCCTGTGCCATGGAAATAAGGTCAGGAGCAGCAGCAAATTGTTATTGTTTAGTCGTTAAGTTGTGTCAGACTCTTCGTGACCCCATGGACCAGAGCACTCCAGGCTCTCCTGTCTTCAACTGCCGCCTGGAGTTGGGTCAGATTAAGTTGGTAGCTTCAGTGACACTGTCCATCCATCTCGTCCTCTGTCATCCCCTTCTCCTCTTGCCTACACACTTTCCCAACATCAGGGTCTTTTCCAGGGAGTCTTCTTTTCTCATGAGATGGTCAAAGTATTGGAGCCTCTGCTTCATGATCTGTCCTTCCAGTGAGCACTCAGGGTTGGTTTCCTTCAGAATGGATAGGTTTGTTCTCCTTGCAGTCCAGGGGACTCTCAGGAGTCTCCTCCAGCACCACAGTTCAAAAGCATCAATTCTTTAGTGGTCAGCCTTCTTCATGGTCCAGCAATCCATGAAGGGGAGGTTACCAGTACAGTGTTTTAAACTTTTTACAAATTAACTGCTACTATCACTGATCATAAAGTGGCTCTAGTTTATACTGCAATAAATTTTTATTTAAAATGCTTATGTCTTTTATAATAACCTATGGAATTTCTCAGTTCCACAGTGCTGTACTGTAGGACTGAAATACTTAGCTGTGTGCAGGCAGCTACTAATGCTGTTCATTCCCAGTGTGTGCAGTTGCTGAAAATGGACTAAAATCGAGGCTTGCAGTTGACAAAGCTGCCAAGGCTTCTTCCAGTTTGGATTTCGGGTACCATGAAGATAAATGAGCTGCTCCAGGATATCAGCAAAATGAACATTTCCTCTGCCCCCCACTGAAAACTTGTTTTGCATCTCCTTTCTAGAACAAAACCAAACTCAGAGCCTTAAACCTCCTAATTCAACTGAATCCATCTCGGTTCCGAAATCTCCTTCGATATCGGAACACTCAAAATAAAAAAAACAAAAGTGGTCTTCCACTGACTCTCATCCTTCCAGACAAAGACCGGTGCCAGACCTAGCACCATTATATGACCAGCCTACAATCCGCCTTGACTCACTGGAAGAGACCCTTCTTCCTCTATCTGGTCAACCTCCATCTCCACGACTCGCACACTCTCCATCTTCTATGCTGAATCCCGCTGACATTACCATTATGCCTTGATCACCACAATTGAGCCCCGTGTCTTCGGGTTGCTCCATTTCCATGGTCAATTTTGAGTCTGTGTACCCAGTACTCGACATTTCCCCTCCGCACAGGAGGTTAAGGAAGACCCATCACACGTTGCAGACGTGCCATTCTGGTGCTGATCCCATACGACCCATGACTCTGACTGGGTCTCTGGCATCTCGAGAGCCTTCTACTAGGTATCGCCACTCTAAACGGGTCACGCTCTATGAGCCTCCGCAGTATTGCGACCCTACATTCAAACGCTCTCAACATCAAGCATATTGGTATTACCAACCCAAGCTCGATTTCTATACCTACCGTCTGCACTCTCGACACAGATACTATTACCAATCCAATTTCTCCAAGTCTTCACCTTCTCTTCGATACCGATTACAGTATCATGGCTTCTACTGTTCCTCGTCGGATGATGACTCCGTACCACCCCCTCCGGTACGGAAGTCCCACAGACCTCACAAGAGACCAGATCCTGAGCCTCTCCAGGACCAGCCTATGATACTGAAATGACAACGGACCTCCGTACAGACAGTGCCACGTGTTGCACAACCCTCTCTTTCCACTCAACCAAAGCCTCCCTCGGTACAAGCAACCACCACTTATGTTGGACCTCCACCTCTACCTTCTGGTACCGTGCATTCTCATCATAAGAAACACTCTAAACATCAGTGTGCTTCCTTACTGGCCCATCAGGCTCCTGCTAGACCTCATCATGATCTTCCAGAACCTCTTTCCACCTCCATCCCACGGTACTGTCCTACCTCTCCGACCTCATCTTCTCAATCCTAATATTTGGAGGCTTCTAAATCTATACCAGAACAGGAATTTCCCCTCTCCCCCCAATCTGCCTATACCAAACTCGGATGTCACTCAGTTAACCCTCCATCACCATCTGATGACTTTTCTTCCTATTCTCAGTTGGTCCTTCGAATTGCCAAGGCTATGGATGTGCAGCAACCTGTTCAGCCCCAATCAGATAAAGTATTTGAAGACATTAATGAGGAACAAACTCCACCTCTAAGTATGAGTTTTATCCCTTGATTATTAGAACTCACTAAACAAACTTGGTCTAAACCATCATCTGTACCACAAATGTCTCGTAAAGTCGAAAATCTTTACAAGATGCATGGAGAAAATACTTCCTTCCTCTCCAAACATCCACCTCCCAATTCGGTCATTGTTGATGCTACTCAAAATAGAGCACAAAACCGTTCCAGCACCACACTGAATAACAAGGAAGGAAGGAAATTAGACATTGTCAGGCGTAGGATCTATTTCCTTGTCTCATTTACTTTTCATGCTGTCAATTATCTCACAGCTATGGGAGGTTATCATCGTTGTCTTTGGAACAAGGCTCTCCCATCACTGCAATCAGCTTCAGGTGAATACAACCCCGTGGCCTCACTTTCCACCAAGAGGCCATGGCCCTTGCACGTTAAGAGCGTATCACAGCCAGACATACTATCGAAGCATCATCTAGACACATGGCTACTGCTATAGCCCTCTGTAGACATGCCTGGCTACGATCCACCCACATCTCAGATGTGCTCGCATGAGAATTGAAGACTTACCGTTCAGTGGTATTGGTCTGTTCAACAAAAAGACCGATGACATACCGAACAACCTGCAAAAATTGAAAAATACAGCACGATCATATAACACCCAATGATGCTACCAACCACAATGATATCAGTGGCACCACCCTTCCTCTTACCAACAATCTAGATCATTTGCTGACAAAAATAGATATCCTTCACAGCCCACTCCTTCCTTCCAACCTAGACACACACTATAACGTCACCGCCCCAAACAGTCTTCCCGTCACCCTGATAAGAAACAAAAACAGAATATTTGACTTTTTCATCCCCGATATCTGCTCAACCTAGCTTTCTCATTCCACAGCCACCTGTCTTTCAGCCCATCTTCCATCTTGGGTATCTATCACCACTGACTCCTTGGTCCTCGCCATTGTCACTACAGCTTATGCCATAGAATTCATTTACCCACCTCCACCAAGGATTGTTCTAACATCACCGTCTGTTGCTCTCAAACAGAAAATTCAATCGCTTCTCCTAAAAGATGCCATATCACCTGTCAATCCTTCAGAAGAGGATCCAGGGTCCTTCTCCCGCTATTTTACTGTCCCAAAATGAGACGGCAGTCTACGACCTATCTTCAACCTTCAGGACCTCAACTACTACATCATTCAGAGACGTTTCCGTATGGTCATGTTAGAATGAATCCTAACCATTCTTCAACAAAACGACTGGTTGGCAATTTTAGATTTAAGCGCTGTGTACTTCCACATTACAGTTCGCCAGGACCATCGCAAATTCCTCAGATTCACCGTAGGACCCCATGCCTACGAATTCAAAGCCCTTCCCTTCAGCCTCTCCACAGCGCCAAGAGTATTTATGAAACGTATGGCACCCATAGCAGCCCATCTAGGTACTCTGGGAATCTCCATCTTCCCGTACATAGATGACTGGTTAATAGTCTCCCCTTCATGCTCTCAAGCTTCAAAGGATATCTAGTTGACCCTCTCTCTCCTCATGGATCTGGGCCTCAAAGTCAACGAAGAAAAATCCGTTCTTACTCCCACACAATGCATCGTCTATATAGATGCAATTCTCAACTCTACCAAGGCAAGAGTTTTTCTTCCTCTAGAAAGAGTGATCAGACTTCACACACTCATCAGTTAATTCCTTCCTCACTCCATCACAGCGCATTCGGCTCAACATCTCCTAGGTCTTATGGCCTCCACCACGGTGACCATTCAGCACACTAGGCTAAAAATGCACTCTCTACAGTCATGGTATCTGTCCCTCTTCAACCCTATGACAGACCCACCGTCTAAACTTCTTCTTAGCTCCTCTGGTGGGACACTCCGTCCAACCTGTTCATTGGATGGTCCTTTGCTCCTCTTCAACTATCGTTCAGATCACCACTAATGCAAGCCCTGCTGAATGAGGGCGCATTGCAACGACCTTCAGTGGTAGAATATACCAGATGGGCTATGACAGACGTCTAAACTTCTTCTTAGCTCCTCTGGTGGGACACTCCGTCCAACCTGTTCATTGGATGGTCCTTTGCTCCTCTTCAACTATCAGTTCAGATCACCACTAATGCAAGCCAAGCCC